TCAAGATATGAAGGAGAAATACTACAAAAGGATAGATTTTCAAAAAAATTAGAAATCTTGGAAATAAAAACAACAAACAAAAAGAGACTACAAGAAGAACAATATCTGAACTTGAAGACAAAACAAAAAGAAGAAAAAAGGCAAAAATAAAAAAAGAATGGAGACCATTCATGGCCCTTAGAGCACCACTAAAGGAAAGAATATCCACATTTTTGGAATAGTCAAAGATGAGGAGATGAAAGTCAATAGAAAGATGAGGAGATCAAAGTTAATGGTATGGAAAGCCTATTCAATAAAATTGTAGCCAAAATTTTTTGTAATCTTGAGAAACACGTGGACATGCATGAACAGGAGGCATTTAGGAACCAAAATAGACATGACCAGATTCACCTCAGCACAGTATAGTCAAACTGTCAAAACATAGGACAAAGAAAGAACCTAAATTCTGAAGGAAAAAAAGTGCTGTCATATATAAGGGTATCCCCATTTGACTGATAGCAGGTCTCAGAAAAAAATCCTATAGGTCAAGACGAAACACCGTGATATATTCTAAGTCCTAAAACAAAATAACAGCCTGAGAATAATACTACATTTCAGAAACAAAGGAGCAATAAAGTCATTCCAGGATGAGCAAAAATTGAGAGAATTCATAACCATCCTTATGAAAGATGCTTGAGGAAGTTCTATATCCAGAAGTGAAAGAAAGATAACTATGATTATGACAGCCTGTCAAACTATAAATCCCTGTAGAAAAGTAGACTCACAAGAGAGAAACAGAAAACAGTTAAACAGTACCTATAAATAAACCATCAAGCCATAAAGATGAACAAGAGGAAGAATAAAGTATCTAAAACAAGAAGAAAATCAACAAAATGAAAGGAGTAAGTCCCTCCTGACCTATCAATAACTTCAAATGTAAATGAACTAAATTTTCCAATTAAATGATACAGATTGGCTGGATAGATTAAAAAAAAAAGCAAAGCTCAAAAGTATAGCGATGGAGAAACTCATCTCACCACTGAAAATAGAATAATACAAAAGGATGTAAAATGATATTCAAAGCAAATGGAAACCTAAAGTAACCAGGATTGACTATGCTTTGTATCAGACAAAATGGACTTTAAGATTTAAAACAAATGATAAAAGACAAAGACAGTCACTTTATCATGATTAAGGGCTCAACTAACCAGGAAGATATAAGTATTGTAAATCTATATGCCTTTAATGTCAGAGCACCCAAATTTATAAAACAGATATAAATCTAAAAGGAAAGGTACACCCCAAAATTATAATAGGGGTAGACTTAATATCCCGCTTTCATCAGTGGACGGATGAAAAAAATCAAAAAGAAAAATGTATCGAAGCCAAATTACACTATAGATCAAATGGATTTAATAGGCATTTACAGAACATCCCACCCAACAGCTGCAAAAACTCTTTTCATCAGGGCATGGAATTTTCTCAAATACTCCATACAGTTTTGCCACAAAAAAACCATAACAGATTCAACAAAACTGAAATATGTGATTTTTTTTATTACAAAGGAATATAATTACAAATTTGTAAGAAATTTTAGAAACTATAAAAACAAGACGACTTAAAAACATTTTTGAATGAACAAAGATTAATCAAAAATAAAAAGGGAAAATGTAAGAAGTCTTGTAATAAAACAAAATGCAAACGTAAAATACCAAAACTTAAAGGGACACAGTAAAAGCAATTCTCAGATAGAAGTTTACAGTACGAAGTAAGTACCTACATCAAAAATATAGAAAGATATCAAGTAAATAACCTACCAATGCATCTCAAGAACTTAAAAAGCAAGCGCAACCGCAAAATTAATGGAAAAAAAGGAAATACCAAAGATTCCACAGAAATAAGGAGGCTTTAAAAAAGCTATACAAAAAATCAGCAAAATAGAGAAGTAGGTTTTTAAAAGCAACAAAATGAACAACTTTTAGCTAGATCAACCACCAAAAAAAGAGGGAAGACACAAGTAAAAATCAGAGATAAAAAGGGACCCTTTACAACCAAATATTGGAAATACATAAGAGGATTATGAAAAACTACATCCTAGCAAATTGGAAAACCCAGAAGAACAGGACAAGTTCTTGGACACATATGATCTGCCAAAATTGAACCATAAGTACACAGAAACATGAACAAAACCATAAACAATGGGACTGAATCAGTAGCAAAGTCTTCTAAAAAAGAAAAGTCTAGGACCAGCTGGCTTCATGGTTAAATTTTACCAAACACAGAGAAGAATAAATACTAATTCTTTTAAAATCGATCCAAAGAATCAAAGGCAAGAGAGTCTTTCCAAATTCGTTCCATGAGACCAGTGTTATTGTATTTGTCACTTTTTTTCACTGGAACAAAATCTCTAACATCTATTGGCTCATGGTTTTAGTGGATTCAGTCCTGGTTATCTAGCTCTAATTTGAGTTCCAGAACTCTGTTTTTGTAATCAGGCATCTGTCCCTTAAAACTCGACTTTTTTTTTGTTGTTGTTGTTCCAGGAATCACACTCATAGCCTTGCATTTGCCAGGCAGGCACTGTGTCGCTGAGCCACAGCCTCAGTTCCAAACTACAATCTTAAAGAGCTTCTTAATCTCTCTACGTCTGAGTGCCCTCATTTACAAAATGAGCATAAATAGAGTACTAATTCATATGATTTCTAAAAGGCTTAAATGAAATAAAACATGGATAAGCACTCAGAATCACGCCTGGCATGCTGTAGTCACTCAACAAATGATGTTATCATTCTCTCAGGATACATTATTAATAACTACCATTTATAAGCACTGAGAATAGAGAATTAAAATGAACAATTCTATTGTGTAGAAGGCAAACAATAAATTGGACTGAAAGTAAAAGAGGGGATCACCCATATTGGAAGCAAACATTTATAATTAATTATATCCCAAATTTATATTGCTAAACCAAAAATGTAAAGGACTAAACCATAAATATCATGGTACCTACATCAATTTATCAACAACATACAAAACTAGAATAACTTGAAAAACAAACGTTCTTGCAAGACTCTTAATCCTTTAGATTTTATCTTGCCTAAATTAAATGCCACTTATAAATAAACAAATGTGGTGTATTGGGCAGCTCCATTTTATAACAATGTTCTGGAATAAGTATATAAAACAGGATACTAATATGTGAGGTACTCAATGGCATCATAATAACTGTATTGACTCAAAATATTTCATTTCACCACTAGGGAGAACCAAAAAGGTGGCTACAGCCCCACCATGTGAGCCAGAACAGGATAACAATATACAATATAGTAATTATTGTAATTTCCTGCTGTCTTATCATTGTTGTTTTGCTTTATTGTTCTATCTTACTATCTTCAAAATTAAAAAATTTTATTTCAATAGTAATTTGGTTTGATAAATCCTTTGAATCTTGTGAAAAACAAATATTAACAGTTAAGAATGTATTCATTCATACAACAAATATTTGTTAAAGGTCTAATTAGTAAAGACTGTCCTACATAACAGGCAATAAATATGAACCAAAAATGGCCTCCCTTATTAACAGACTTAAAAGTGGTAAAAAAAAAAAAAGACAGATAATTACACAATTTTTAAAAAATTCACCATAGTGCAATAAAGAGCTAAAATTATGACAAGTATGAAATATAGTATAAAAGAAAAAGTAACAGATTTTCAGGAAGTTCATTCATTAATTCACCAAATACTATACAATTATATTAGCATGTCACTGATTTGTCATTATATTATTAACATTAAGTTAATTAAGAACCTATTGCTGGGTATGGTGACACACACCTGTGATCCCAGCGCTTGGGAGACTGAGGCAACAGAATCATGAGTTTGAGGCCAGCCTGAAATGTATAGCAAGACCCTTTCTCCAAACCAACAACAGCAACAACAATAAATCCTACTGAATGCCAAGCACTGTTTAGGCACAGAGGATAGCCAGGTAAATAAAACATAAAGATTCCTACCTGGAAGGCATATACCATCACACAGCAGGTGACAGTAAATACTTAAAATACACAGTATGTCAATTTATAATGAATGCTACAGGGGAAATACAAAGCAGGATGCGGCTATAAAGACTACAAATAGAATGGGGGTTTCAATCAGATCACCAAGTTCTGATACATATCACTTCAGAATTTGTTTTAATCTTTCTCTAAATATGATGGATATTTTCCTTCCGCACAGGGCCTCCCTGATAAAGTTCCAACTAGGACACACTTAAGATATTAGTTGTTAGGAACATGATGAAATTATGCTAATTTATATTATTTCAAATTTTCAAAAAACCTGATGGTCAATTAATCTAACAGCATTCATGGATGCCACTGGGAAGCAGGGGACAACTATGGGAATGGAAAATGGAAAAAAAAATGTAAACTCAGAAAATAGGAAAGAGGGAAAATACTGTAAAAGGAAGTGAGATCAACAACTAACTGGAGCGTATCTCAGGCTTTGCTATACTAAAGGTAACTGGTTCTAAGATCACCCCAATTACTCCCTTCTGGGTTGATGGTACAAATTTCTTTTAAAAAAGTGTTTCTAAAAAAACACTGTACAATAAAATAAAATTTCATTGAAAATAATTAAGCAGCCCATATTAACTGTGCTTCACTTTCCTGAGTCTTCTCACATGAGCAAAATTAATCCGTTTAAACTTGTGCTTTATGCTGCTTCTCTTACAAAGCAAACGGTTACAATTCAGCAACAAACCTGCATCGCAAATAATAAGTAGGTGGGGGGGGTTAGAAAAAAAATAAACTTCTGGGGGCTGGGGATTTAGCTCAGCGGCATAAACATCTGCCTTGCAAGCAGGCGGTCATGAGTTCGATCCCTGGTATCGACTGCAACCCTGAATTCTTTCTTCTGAAAACTGTGGCTAAGGCTTACTTCCCTTGCAAAACCAACAGGAATTTTCAATAGTAGCTCTGAGTTGACTTTAAAACATTACATACGCATACTCTACTACACAGACGTTTCAAACACGTGCTTGATGGCCAACCACACATAAAACAGAAGGTAGAGTGCAATGGAAAGCAAGAACCACTACACCTTGTCCCCGCGAAGCTCAGATCCCAGGAAAGGGGTTGTCAAACAAGAGCAGAAACCAGCACACAGCGACTCCCCGCCAGCCGGAAGAGCCGGAGGAGAGGTTTCGCGGAGCTACCGCGTGCTTCGCTAACAACCAGGCTGAAGGTGGGAAATGCTTTTCCAGCACCGTCTTTCAGGCGACGTCTTTCAGGGAGACTTTACTGGTTAACAGGAGTGCTGGGTTCTCACATTTCATGTGGAGACTTCCAAATAGGGAGACAACAAAAAGGAATCAATCCTGGGATAAAAGGTAGTTTTGACTTTTTAAAAGCCAAAGCCTGCTACCTCCGACTTCCGGAGAGCGGAGGGAGAGCGGAGGGAGACCGGAAGCGCAGGCCCAGGAACTCAGTGCGCTGTTAAGGTCTGCGCAGCTTCCGCAGCCGCCGGTAGGGGGCGCGGGCGGGGCCGGGTGGGCTCGGCCGGGAGAGGCTGGGGCGGTTGTGGATCCCAGGCCTGCTGGGGGCGCAGGATGAAGGTGCTCTTCTGTTTCAGTTCGCTGTGGCTCGGGCTCCTGTTGATTTGCTTGTCGCAAGAGCTGGACCAGCTGGACGAGCTGAACATAGGGATCAGTATAGCCAGGAAGCTGTGCGGCAGCAATCTGCAGAAAGCAATAGTAAAGCTCTGTGGCGATACTGACTGGAGCCACTTCCAGTTGGAAGAAATCCCTTTGGTACAGTTGGTTCCCCAGGCCACTGGGAAGACTGAAGCCCTTGACACCGACCAGTTTGGAAGTTCCGAAATGCCTTTCCCGGTGTGGGGCGCAGTCACAAACCCAGGTAATAATCTATGTATTTCTTCTCAGATTTGCTATGTCAGACAGTGAGCAGTGGGATATGGAATTTATGCCTAGTTTGTAGATAAATAAGAATAATTAAAAACTAGTATATTGAGTATATACAAAATGAGGATATACCACGAAGCTTTTTTCCTTAAACTTAGAGGAAATATGTGTGCACGTATGATTGTGGAGACTTCCAGGTGCGGTGGCTCACAGCCGTAATCCTAGCACTAGGAAGGATGAGGTGTAGGAGGATCGTTGTGAATTCGAGATCAGCCAGGGCAACAAAGTGACCTCAAAGCCAGCCTGAAATGTATAGTAAGACCCTGTCTCAAAAAGACAACAAACAAACAAACAAAACAAATGTCATACCTTTCCTAGCTTCCCCGTTGTGGAGTGCTCTTATGTGGCAAATTTTTTGTCCTTGAAAACCTAATTTAGGTATCATTTTCCCAGTGAAGTCATCATTGATCTTTTCATAGGCAACTTTTGAAGTCTGCTTTCTACATAGTATATAGCATATGAAGCTTTTTTTTTTTTGGACTGTCATCAGGACCGGCTATGTAATTGGCCTAACCCAACCTAGGGCAAGACAAAAATATATAGTCCTTGTTCTAAAAGTAAAAAAGGGATAAATGTACAAAAATGGGTCTAATTCAGTAGGTCTGGTGTGGGGTCTGAAATTCTACCTTTGTAACAACTTGGTGATGCTCGTGCAAGATGGTGGACAACATCTTTGAGTTACAAGATTTAATTCGTTTTCTCTGCTTTTTTTTATTTTCTCCAATCATTTAAGGTTATCTTCGTAATTGGTATAATATTTTAGGCATCTTATTAGACTCCATATATGGCATAGAATTCAAAGAGAAAGTTTTACCTTTACCAGTAACATGTTTTTGGAATTTTCTGCACTAGAAACCTCAGAAATGTCAGTCAAAACCTGCCCTGACAGACAAGGAGTAGTACTTTCTGCTTTATGCTAAAAAATTTCTCTCATATCTAATTTCGCTTTCTCACCACCTATGCTACAGTCAAACTTTTACCTTCAGAATTAAAAACTTGAATTTACTATTAAAGAGTTTGAAATCTTTTTTCCCAATAAAGTTTTCTTTAAAAAAAATGAAGATAGTTTTCTTAATAAAAAATGTTCAACTTGAAAACTCAGAGCTCATTAAGGACCTCTTTGTTTTGGGTGCTATTTACGTTCTCCTGGAGGAATAAATATCATTAGTTCAGTAAGAGGGAATCTGCAAAGAAACACAATTTTCAGGAAATAAAAATATATCCGATATTATATAACTGTTATTCTGTTAATATGGAAACTATGAAAGAATAATTTGAAGTGGAAATATCATATACCACAGTTGCTTTGAAATGTGTGAAAGAAAAATGGGTTTGTTATAAATGAATTCATGTTAAAATTTTGAAATTATTAGTCTATACAAGAAGATGGCATTTATTCTGTTCTGTTAATTTTCAGTGAATAACTTAGATGTTTCAGAGAGGTATTTCTAATACAGGAAGTATAACTATGCCATTTATTGTACATATGGTATGACTATAAAATTAATTTTTATTTAGCTTTTGCTAGCAGGAGGTGGTGCTGTGTTAAATTCATCAGTTTATTCACAGTTTTAATCTTCTGATGTTCTATCTGACACAGTTTCATACACTGACATTAAAGTGTTTTTTTTCAGTACTGGTCATATATAACTTGAATTTTAAATTACTGTGCTTCTTGTTAGGGAATCCTGATGGTGGAGGCCGTGTCTCCAGCTCCTATGCCAGAAAGTTGAATCATGAAGCAGACAATATATTTCTAAATTGTGTCCAAGTGTTTCCTTAATATGATCTTGGTATTTTGTGAAATCATTAATGTTTCAATACCATTTTCATAATCTACAACCTCTTTTGCAGTTAGGTTGATTCTATTCTCCTATTTTAGGTTTTATTCACCTATGCATGGCTTTTTGTTTGTTCATTTTTAGATACCATCTAGGCCCCTATCTTTATATATTAATTATACAAAATTTGAGTGCCTATTATGCACTAGGTATTTTCTTGGTGCTTGAGGTATAAGAGTTAAGGGTGAAGGCTCTTACCATGGTGAAGTTTACAGAATAATAAAGACAGAAAATATAAATTATATAGCATATTAGACCATGATTGTCCCCCTATTCCTTTTTTTCTACTTATGTTCTTTTTGTCTCATAGGCAGTTATTCCAATGTGTTTGTTTTTATACGTTTTAAAAAATTACACATTGCTTCTTGTGCATGTGTTTTTAAACATATAAATAGTATTTGAGATTTGTCTTTCATTATCATGTGAAGATTTAATCCATTCCAATTGCTCCATAGTACTTATGTGAATTCCCCACATTTTGCTCATTCTTTCAATGATAAACACTTAACATACAGAACCTTCAGCTCTTCACACTATAAGTAACACTGCAGTATGTGCTACCTTATAGGCCTATGTGAAAATTTTGCTGAAATGTACAAATATGTCTAGATGTGGAGTTGCTGTATCATGAGATACATGTATGCTTAAGTTGTTTAAGGCATGTTTGGTTATTCTTGTGAATAGCTACATCAATCTGTACTTGTAGCACAAGTCCTATGTACTCATGCTAGCAGCTCACATTATAGTTTTTTTTTTAACTTTTGCCAATATAATATGCATGAAATGTCATCTCATTTTTGTCTTAACTTGCTTGGGGTCTGAGCATCATTTCACCTGCATGTTAACCCTTTTGAAAATGTCAAATATATTGTGACATTTTATTGAAATTATAGTAATTTTCCATGTATTTGTAAAAGTCAAATCAGATACAGTAGTAATCAGTTTTTGAGTTTAGATATCATAAATATATTTTCCTAATCTGCCATCAGTGTAAAAACTTAAGCTTTTATGTGATCAAGCATACTATTTTTCTTTATTGCTTCTACTTTTTAAATGTAATCAAACACACGGGAAATCTCTAAAAAGATAGTGAGTGAAACAAAAAAAAAAAAAAAAAAAAAAAAACAAACCAGCTCCATGAGGCTATAGAGGAAATCAAATTAGAAGTACTCTCCCATGTAAAGATAGAAATAACAACCTTAGTAAAGAAGTTGCTGAGCACATCTAAAGAAGAAATAGACAAAAAAGTACAGGAGCATGGGAAACTGATTGAAACCTTGAATGAACAATATAGAAAACAAGCAGAATTCATGAAACAAACTCAGAGAATCCAAGAAACAAAAAATTTCTATTCAAAGCTGGCAAAACTGTTTAAATGAAGCTGAGGATAGGATTTTGGACCTTGAAGATAGGATAGCAATTAGTGATCATGAAAGGATAAAACTTTTAAAAATAACAAAGCAGCATGAAATGACTATCCAGCAGCTTCAAGATGGTACCAAAAGCAACAATATAAAATTAATAGTCAATGCAAATGACATAACTAAAATATTCACAGAATAGCAGAAAATTTCCCAAAAATGGTGAAAAAATCTGATATGCAGATGAGTGAGACATATAGAATGCCAAACAGTTACAACCAACAGAAATGTATACCCACATGTATAATAATTAAGATCTCAGACATACAGCATAAAAACAGAATACTAAAAGCTGTTAAAAGACACAACTCACCTATCAAGGAAAGACCATCAGAATCACAGCAGACTTTTCAGCACAAACTCTCAAGTCAAGACAAGCTTGGTATGAGGTATTTCAAGCCCTAAAAGAAAAAAACTATCAACCCAGACTGATGTACCCAGAAAAACTTTCATTCAAATTTAATGGAGAAACAAGGTACTTCCATGACAAAGAACAGCTGAAGAAATTAACATCCACCAAACCAACCCTAGAAAGAGTATTGAAAGACATACTAGAGATAAAAGTGACTACAATCCCCAGAACAACAGAAAGAAACCACCAGGTAGGACAACCAATTAAATAAGGAGGAAAAGCAGAAAGCAAACAACTGGAACATAACATGGCAAAGTCGAGCCAGTACATATCAGTAATATCATAAATGAAAATGGCCTCAATTCACCTATCAAAAGAAACAGGTTTACAGAATGGATCAAGAAACGTAATCCCACAATGTGCTGTACATAAGAAACACATCTGACCCAAAAGGAAACTCATAAAAGTCAAAGGATGGAAAACAGTATTCCATGCAACAAGAATCCAGAAAAAAGCAGGGGTAACTATTCTAATTTGCAGACAATGTGAACTTCTAACCTAAAAGGATTAAAAGAGATAAAGAAGGTTACTACCTACTCATTAGTGGAAAAATTCAAGAGGAAGAACTAACAATTATAAATATATATGCACCAAATACAGGAGCACCCAACTACATAGACAGATACTAATGGACATGAAAAACCAAATACACAAGAACACAATTATAACAGGGGACCTTAACAGCCCATTGTCACAAAGAAATAGATCAACTAGACAAAAAGTCAGCAAAGAAATAATAGAACTAAATCATACCTGTGAGCAATTGGACTTAGTAGATGTTTACAGAATGTTCCACCCAACCACATCAGAATACACATTCTTCTCAGCTGCACATGGGATATTCTCCAAAATAGGCCACATATTATCCCATAAAACATTCTTAAGTAACTGCAAAGGTTGGAATTTTCCCATGCATATTATCTAACCACAGTGCACTGAAATTGGAAATTAATAGCAAAAGAAATTACAAGACTTGCATAAATACATGGAAATTAAATAACAAACTTTTGAACCACCAGTGGGCTACAGACAAAATTAAATAAGAAATAAAGGAACACCTACAATTCAATGAAAATGCGGAAACAACATTCTGTAATCTGTGGGATGCAATGACAGTGATCTTAAGAGGGAAATATAAAGCAATAAATGGTCATATCAAGGAAACAGAATGAGCACAAATAACCTAATGCTTCATCTCAAGTTTCTAGAAAAAGAAGGGCAAGTCAAACTCAAAGCTCATATAACAGAGGAAATTGTAAAGATTAGAGCAGAAATCAATGCATTTATAATTAAAAAACAATACAAAGAATAAATGAATCAAAAAGCTGGGTTTTTTGAGAGAATAAATAAAATTGACAAACTTCTAGCTAACCTTATCAAGAAAAAGAAAGAAAAACCCAAATTCACACCATAAGGACTGAAAAGGGGGAAATTACTACAGATCCCATGGAAATTCAAAAGATCATGAACACATACTTTGAAATTTTCTACTCAGAGTGGAAAACACAGAGGAAAGAGACAGATTTCTAGAAACATATGAACTACCAAGGCTCAACCAAGATGATATAGCAGTTTTGAATAACCCAATATAAGCTGTTGAAATTAAGAACATAATTAAAAACTTCCCAACAGAGAAAAGCCCAGATCCCGATGGATTCATGGCTGAATTCTACAAGAAATTTAGAGAATATTTGACATCAAACTGCTTAGACTCTTCAATGAAATTGAAAGAGAAGCAATCCTCCCTAACTCATTCCTAGAGGCAAGTATTAGTCTCAAACCAAAATCAGAGAAAGACCCAAACAAAAAGGAGAACTATAGGCCATCTCACGAATGAACATTGATGCAAAGATTCTCAATAAAATACTAGGAAATAGAAAGCAGCAAATCATCAATAAGATTATACATCATGACCGAATGGGATTCATTCCAGGAAGGCAGAGATGGTTTAACATACACAAATCAACAAATGTAATACACCACATCACCAGAGCCAAAAACAAAAACCACATGGTCATCTCAATAGTTGCAAAAAACCTTTTGATAAAGTCCAACATACATTCATGATAAAAAACCCTTCAGAAATTCAGAATACATGGTGTCTATCTCAATCTTATAAAGGCCATCCGTGACAAACCAACAGCCAACATTATACTAAATGGACAAAAACTGAAAGCTTTCACTTTAAAATCAGGAACAAGACAAGGATGTCACTATCACCACTTCTATTCAATATAGTTCTAGAAACCCTAGCCAGGGCAATTGGACAAGAGAGCGAGAGAATAAAGGAATAAAGATAGGAAAGGAAGAAGTTATATTATCACTATTTTCAGATGACAAGATACTCTATATAGGAGACCCAAAAAACTCCATTAAAAGACTACCAGAAGTAATAAACAAATTCAGCAGTGTAGCTGGATACAAAGTTAACTCTCAAAAATCAATAGCATTCCTGTACACAAACAAAAAAATCCCTGAGACAGAAGTTACAGAAATATCACCTTTCACAGTAGCATCTAAAAAAATAAAAAAAACTCAGGAATCAACCTAACCAAGAATGTAAAAGACTTATGTGCTACAAATTATGCTATGCTAAAAAAGGAGATTGAAGAGGATATTAGAAAATGGAAGGATATTTCTTGCTCTTGGCTAGGAAGAACCAACATTGTGAAAATGGCCATACCCCCAAAACTCTTATACAGATTTAATGCAATCCCAATCAAAATACCATTAACATATCTCACAGATCTAGAGAATAACACTCCTAAAATTTATTTGAAAACAGAAGAAACCTAGAATAGCAAAGGCAATTCTGGACAACAAAGGCAAGGCAGGAGGCATCTCAATTCCTGACTTGAAACTACACTACAAAGCCATAGTGGTAAAATCAGCATGGTACTGGCAAAGAAATCAATAACTGGGATCTCATATTTTGAAGTTTTTGTACTTCAAAAGAAATTACCAACAGAGTGAAAAAAAACCCCACAGAATGGGAAATAATTTTAGCCAAAAATCCCTGAGACAAAGGATTTATATCCAGAACATATAAAGAATTGAAAAACATCAAGCCCTCCAAATTCAAAGACCTTATCCAAAAATGGGCATCTGAGATGAATACACATTTTGCAGATGAAAATATACAAATGGCAAATAAATACATGAAGAAATGTTCATCACTGGTTACTCAAGAAATGCAAATTAAAACAGCATTAAGATTTCATCTCACTGCAGACAGATGGCTGCCATCAAGAAATCAACTGATAACAGATATTGGCGAGGTTTCAGGGAAAAAGGAACACTGCTCCACTGTTGGTGGGAGTGTAGATTGGTGCGACCACTATGGAAATCAGTATGGAGAATTCTCAGAAGACTAGTACTGGAAGTTCCATTCAATCCAGCTATTCCCCTCCTGGGTATTTTCCCAGAAAAACTGAAAAGGTCATATCACAGTGATGTATGTGCATCCATGTTCATAGCAGCACAATTTTTACTAGCTAAATCTTGGAAACAACCAAGATGTCCATCAACCACCCAGTGGATGAAAAAGATGTGGTATTTTTATATAATAGATTATACTCGGCTATAAAAAGGATGATCTTGAGGCCTTCATAGGAGAATGGAGACAACTTGAGGCTATCCTCATTAGTGAAATAAATAAGAATCATATTTATAAATATCACACTGCCTCTAGTGTAATAATAAGAAATGTATGAACAATAAAACCCAAAATGTGTAATTGCTGTTGTAAAAAAGGAGAGGAAAAGAATGTGCTCTAAAGGATGTAACTGCATGTATGTTTTAAGTGTAGGATTGATATCCATATTACCAAGTTTTCGTTGGATCACTGAACAGAACTGTTTGCAGTCTCGCTGTTTAAATGTCCATTTTGCTTAACTTTTGTAACTGGAACAACTATTTCGAAGAGGACAATATACAACTTATCAACTAGTGATTTCTATTTTTTTTGAAATTATTATTTCTACCCTTTTTTTCTTTAAATAAAATTAAAACAATGTAATTGAGTAGTAGAGGTCCTTTTCTGTCCCTCTATCAACTTTACAATTTTACTTCTCATGTGTCCTTCATTTGTCAGGATCATTTTTGGTTCTGATTTAGGTAGAAATACTGTCTTATTTTGGTTTTCTCAATAAGTTTTATTTTTCTCTAACTATGGAACTAATTTTCTGACTACCTTGTATTAAACATTTTCCCCACTGACTTATATAGTCACCTTTATTGTTTACTGAGCTTCATGTTCTATTTATTTGGTCTGGTTTTTTTTTTTTTTTTTGACCTTGTGCCATTATTTCATTATTTTTCATACTGTGATTCCACAGCATGTCATTTTTCTGGGATAGCAAGTCTCTAGTGTTTTTCTCTCCTTAAGATCAACTAAGTTCACCTGAAATTTTCATTCATTTATATATATCCAACTCAAAATCACTAAGTGATTTTGATTTGGATATATCAAATATACTATTAGGATTTTAAAGTCTTCTCCTATGGAGACTCTGAATTGTTGGTTAAGTAATTGGCTAACAGTTTTGATCCATTATAAATAATTGTGAATTATATTTTTAGTTAGTGACTATTGAATAGATAAATGGCAACTGATTTGTATAAGTAGATTTTGATTTGATCAACCATATTGAACTATTTTCATAGTTTTAATAATTTGTTGATTCTATAGGTTTTTCTTATCACTTGGAAGTGACAGTTTTTCTTTGTAAACCTTAGACCATTGAGAGAGAGTCAGAGAGAGAGAGAGAGAGAGAGAGAGAGAGAGAGAGAGAGAAAGAGAGAGAATGACTATTGGCAGGTCCTCTAGTCATTTTTAAGCAGTAGTGATGGGAACAAGACATCCCAGTAATGTCTTGTCTTCAGACTTAAAGGTATGCATTTAAATTTAATAATGTTGGTAGGTTAATGCCACATAATCTTTACCAAGATAAGGAAGCTTGCTAAAAGGTATTTTTATCATTTTAAGTGGTACTTTATGGTGTCCATTAGGATAAATATAATATAAAAATGGAAAATACCAAGTGTTTGTGAGGGGTTGGAGAAGCCACAATCTTAGTTTATCAATACTAGGATTATAAAGTAGTATACTTGCTACGGAAAAGCATTGCACTTACTGAAAAATTGAAACAAAATTAACATACAATCCAGAAGTCTAGGTATAGGCCCAAAGGAGTGAAAACATATTCACATAAGAACTTGTATTTTAATATTCATAACAGTTCTATTAGTAATAGCCAAAGAGTGGAGACTACCAAAATGTCCATCACTTGATAAATGGATTAATAAAATGTGATGTGGAATAAACACACACTAGAAAATTATTCAGCCACAAACTGAAAGAATTCCATATGCTACAACATAGATGAACACGGAAAGCATTATGCTAAATGAAAGAAAGTAAACACAAAAGTTCACATAGTATATGCTTCCATTTATAAGAAATACATGAAATAAAAATATCCATAGAAACAAAAATAAAAATAGTGGTTTCCAGGAGCTGGGGGAATAAGAAGGGAAAGGGAAGTGATTGTTGACAATGACTGCTGTGTTTTTTTGTGGGGTGACAGCAATGTTATGGAATTAGATAGTGGTGATAATTGTACAATATAGTGAATATTCAAAATCACTGATTTGTATACTATAAAATGCTGAATTTTATGGTACATGAATAATCTTATGCAAACCAAACGTTTAAGCTTTTTTGTAGGAAAACACTACAATTATGTTAAACATATATTGCGTTTGAATAGCAAACTTTCTATTTAAAATATTAGTTTTTAATGTTTAGTTGACTTCAGTATTATAATATTAAATACCATCTAGAAATATTTTAATAAAGTAGTATTTTGTTTTGTCTCTCAATAGGCTCTACTTCTGCCTCTCAGGGAGAAGCAATAAAAAGTTGGGAGATCCAGTCATTACCTCAATATCAGTATAAAAAGACCAACTTACTCCTTGATAAGATAAGAGAATTTCCTTCATCGCATGATGGTGATCCAAACATTCACAAAGCTGTGAAATTTCAAAAGAAAAATACAAACAAAATTAAAGCCTCAAGCAATTTATTTTGGGGAAATCATCCTCAAAGGAAACGCAGAGGATTTTCAGATAAATGTTGTCTTAAAGGATGTACAAAGGAAGAACTTGCCATTGCATGTATTCCATATATTTTTAAAACTTATGATAAAAAGACTGTCACTTGAACTGGGATATACTCATCATCATCATAACTATATAAACTTAATAAAACTTCACAATATCTAACTTTCTACTTATTTTTGATAATGCCTGTGAGTGCTATGCTAATTAATTATACCTGAATGTACTTGCAAGCACTAGACAATATGGTACTATTAGGAATCTTTGTATGGTATTTTCTTCAATGACTCATTTTTATAGTTTTAAGATGTTATTGGAGGTATCATGATCCATGTAGACATCAAAGAAGTGCCTCTTTGTTTCATGTCATGAGTGAAAATTCTCTTAAGCAGAATATAAATGGGTTATAGAATGTTATGCATTTTGTATGACATACAGATGATATCCCTGCTTATTTGGCTTATGTAAGTAAACCAATACATTTGTCCCATCAACTTAAGAGTAACTAATCAACTACACTCCTACCAGAAGCTGTTGTACTGTAATAGCAGGTACACTTTTAATTCCTTGAGTTTCCTTATAGAAGGTATGCAGATTCTCTTCACAGTTGCTATTGAAGACTTAAAAGAGAGTTCAGTGAAAAATCTCTCCAAGATATGCTTTCTGCTTTGAAGGTGCTGATATTATGCTGATATTACTGAAATCAATACCTAATTTTCAACATTATTCAGAAGCTTGAGCAGGATTTCTTGAAACATGGTCTCCAGCTAACTCAGAAGCATCAGCATTTTGGGAATTTCATTGCAAACTCAAATCTAAGGTCCTACCTCAAACTTACTGAATCAGAAACTAAGTGTATGGAAATTAGCAACTTACATTTTTTAACAGACCTGGATCATAGCTACTTGTAAGCATTGTTAAAGTCATACAGTTTGTGTGCTTTTATACCTCAGTACAGATATTACAAGACTACATAGCACCAGGGTTTGTATTTGTTTTCACTTTATGTTCATAATGAAATAATTTTAATGCTGCAAAATACAACAAAACTTAAAGGAATTCACACTGGAGTTCCAACTTTCAACTCACTGATTATTGGGTAAACATTATTTGACATTTTCTGTAATTTCTTTCCCAAGTATTTACTGCAGTGTTTTCAATTAAATTTTTATGCCTATTTGACTGTTACTTCTTAAAACAAAGATTCTACCTATATTTACATTATATATACCAGTGCATTAAAAATTTTGTATCTTTTTTACTAGTTTCAGATTGCCACCTACATTTGATTACCTTTGTAAATATATGAAGCCATTCATTTAGACACCAAATGGCAGATTATACAATGAGTATAATGGTTGAGTAGTGGAATAGGTTTTAGATGAAGTACCATTAGTTGAGAAATGCTTATGCTTAGGCTAAAATATAGTAATTCATTATATGCCAGTTTGAAGATTATAGAGGTCTGTGGAATAGGTATGTCACATTTAGATGAAAATGTACCATTAATTGAAAAATGGTTATGCTCTGGCTAATATATAATAAATCACATGTACCATTTTGAAAATGTGTAAGACTGTACTTATAGTTTAAGAATTAAATGCAGTCTATTAGTGTACTAATATATATGGCCATCAAGGATTGCTCAATGCATATACATTCCTGCATACTTGAACAAACTGTGAATTGGTCATGGGAGTTTCATATTATTCAGTGAATTAATCCATTGATAAATTTACAGCTGAATTTGCTGTTCGGTGGTGGGGCCCAGGTTGAAGAGGTTAATCACTGGAGCATGCCTTTGGAAGGAATATTTTTCTCTCTGGCTTTTCCTGCTTTCTCTACTTCTTGGCTGCCATGGTTTGAGCAGCTTTCCTCAGCCAGGCCCTTTTGCAAACCCAATTCTGCGTTAGGGGCCAGATGACCATAGACCAAACTCTGAAACTGTGCCAAAAAACTTCTCTCCTTAAATTGTGTCTATCAAGTATTTTGCCCAGGAACAGGAAAGTTGATAAATACAAGCTTCTTAAGGCAATCAATAAGGAATGAATGAAAGTTGAGATAACTTGATGTAACAGTTGATTGGCTTGAGAGATACCTAGATTAGAAAAGTACACTTCTGGATATGTCTGAATAGATCATAGAGGCATAAGCTTGGTTACAGTTCTTTGGCCCTTTTTCTCTATTTGTTTCATAGATGTCATAGCCAAGCAGCTTTCATTTGCCACACCATCCTGAAGCTTGTGCCTTCGAGCCAAGTAACCACAGATTAAATCCTCTGAAACCATAAACCAAATCAAATCTCATCTCTGTTATATTGTATCAGATATTTTGTCCCAGCAATGGAAAAGCTAATACGTAAAACTGGTACTAGAGAGATGGCATTGCTGCTGTCACTGTACCTGATTATAAGTTCAGTAGGGACTGTTCTGTGGGAAGAGTTTGGAAAGATTTGGACATGAAAGTGAGAGAATCCCTAGAATGCTTTAGGCATAGATTGATGGGTGGTTCTGGTGGTAGCTCAAAAGTCCAGAATACTGATAGGAACACACAGTAAGAACTGCTCATGACATTTCAGATAATGAAGACTCTCTTGGAGTTGGACAGATCATGCACAGTATATTCTGGTAAAGAATTTTTCTATATTTGTCCATTCTTAATTGATTTTGCAGAGGGAATTTCAAGGCAGCTCAATATTCAGGCTGTGGTATGGTTATTGCTGGCTGCTTTTTGCCAGATTTATGGTATGTTAATAGTCAGGAGTACATTTGAAACATTTGAAAAATTTTCAGTTCAGCTTGGAAAGAAACACTTTGTAAAGCTGAGGTCAAAGAAGCTTTGATTGCCAAAGCAAATCAGTGGTCTTTACAGGAAAACAAATGCTTTGCCCTGGATAAGAAAGATCCCATGAGGGCATCTCAGCAGTCAACAAGAGCCCACATATCACATATGCAAAACTGTAAACCCTGTAATAGTGAAACTCAGTGACTAAGTGTCAAATTGCAACTCCAAACCCACTTATCATAAAGTGCCAACACTGCAATTTAACTTGAATAGTGAGGTTTTAGCTTAGATTAATATCGTTTGTCTTAAAAAGAATAAATGCATGCCATAGGCTCTTCCTCAAAATGTTTCATTGGATTTAGCCATTCAAGGATTCACAGGCAGCTGCAACCATGGTCCAAGTGGGCCTAGATACTGCTTAAAATGTCAGCAGACTCTGGTATCATCTACGAGATGTTGGGTTTGCAAGTATGCAAACGTCCTTCCATAAAATCTTGAATTTTAGTGTGGAGGTATTAGTAGGTACTTAAAAGCTTAGTTGGAGGTACTTAAAGCATGTCCTTGAAGGGGACTCTGGGACTCTGGCGTGTCTCAACTTTTCTCTTTCTCTTCTCCATCTCCCTCTCTGTTCCTTCTGGCTTTTGAGAAGTGACCATCTGCCTCTAACCCATTTCCACTATGTGATCATCTGTTGCTCTCATTAGAAGCTAAAGTAATGAGGCCACCCAACTTTGGACTTTGAGCTTCTAAATATGAGAGCTAAATAAACCTTTTCTCTTTAAAATCTCAGTTGCCTTCTGTACTTCATTGTGGTACAGAACTTAATAGCTCATTCCACAAAAATCATCTGAAAGCTTCATGTTTGCTCCTAATGTTTTATCACACTTTGTAATGATTTCTGCATGCATTTTCAATGTATCTAATCTTGCTTGCTCATTTGATTGATCAATATATGTTTCTATTTACCAAGAGACAGCAAAACAGGATCTACTGTGCTTGGCTGTTTTGTAGCCATTATCATTTTAGCTCCATGCCAAGTATTTCTTCCTATCTTAGCTAACTCCATTAAAGTTCTCTGAATCAGGGGCTGGGGATTTAGCTCAGCGGCATAAGCGCCTGCCTTGCAAGCAGGCAATCTGTCAGCTAAATTACTCTGAAAAAAAAAAACAGTATCTAACAGTGGTATTAATTTTATCTGTAAAAATGATATATAGCTGATGATCTCTGACATTACCATTTCTCTGAGCAAATGAGCACTTTACCAGTTTGTCTACAAGAGAAATTGATTATATCATTTAAGATATTAAAGTCCAGCTAGCTAACAACAGTGCTTGCCAGTGTTTTTCCTGTACCTCCAGCCTTTTAGATGGAGTACATATCCCTTCATGCCGGACTACTCAGAGGTTTGTAGGAGGAAATTCAATTTACTAATTTCCTGATCTCTTCTGAGAATCTCCATTTCAGAATGAGGAATGTTTCCACTGTCCTCATGAGACATGCCACAATCAGTAATTTTGGCAAATATCAATGAAATATACCTAAAGCAACTCTTGAAATTAGGCAATTTTTTAATGCTGTCACTGACAATGTATAACATATTCTAGTCCATTTATTATTTTAGTAATAAACTTTTCTTCAATGAGTATCTTAAGTATTTTATGCACAATTTGCTTGATACCTTACAGATCTTTCAAATTACTTTGAGATTTTTAACACTGATTGGCAAGTTCTTTTAGTTGTTATCTTCCTAGAGTTTAAGCTACTTAAAACAGCTGTTGATCTGCTTTTTTTAAATTTTTGAACCTCATTATCTCTGTGGTTTGCCTTGAGAAGATGAATCAGTGTGGGGATGGATATGACTACTGGTGTGGAAGGAGAGGTAGAAATGAGGAGACAGTGGCACATATCAAGGTTATACAGATTAAATCTGTTTTGACTGTTGATAGCGACTTTAGATATTCATTCTTAAAAATCAAGATGAAATGTTTAATTCTGCAAACTTTTACTTTTTTTTTCAAGCAAAACTTGAATGACGTAAGTTTATTCTACTATATTAAAATTTTTGGATACCCATAAAGGCTGTTACAGAAACCTTCAACAAAACTGTTTTGCAGAGCAAGCATCATCCATGTATTTCAATTAGTCTTCAACTAGGTATATTCATAATTGAATGCTTGGAGTATTAGGTTTATCTTTCTCATTTTGTTTCCAGTTTACTTTAGTATCTATGATTTCTTCAATTGCTAATGTTTTTAATTTCAATAAATTCCAACTCACAATTGTATGTTTCATAGCACTATAAAATTCACTCTTAAGTTCTCATATTCTCCAAGCAACTGAAAAACTCAAGTTGTTCAGTAAAAATACTGTATTGTGTTTTCCTCTACATATGTAACTCTTTGGCTAAGTAACAAGACAAAAGAAAATAACTTCTGAATATTTGTTATATCAAACTATGAATTTCCTAGGACCATGCAAAAGGTCCAATGAAGAAATCAGCATATTCTCAAATTGAGCATATAAAACATTCCATGGAGAATGGCTCTCTTGATACAGAACTGTAGATATGTTCTAATAACTACTGCAAAATCAAATTGTTCAAATCAAAGTTAAATACCAGAAGTTATAATTGTAATAAAAATTTCATTTTAAAGCATTATATTTGGGTTTTAAGAAAACACTCTATCACAGCAAACTAAACTGTCACTGGCAGAATAGGTAACTAGCATGAACTAGTGACTATAGATTTCCTACACCAAGTACCGATGGAAGTAGAGAATTATTTATATAAAGGTTATATAACAATGTACTGATATGTATAGAACTGTAGAATTCTAAGAAAACTTTTTCATGTGTTTCTAAAAAATATTAACTTGAAAAAACGTTTGGCATTAATTGATACAATAATTTTTTATATAAGCCAACAGAATTAATTACTTTCCCATTGGACTACCCAACATCTGTACCTCAAGGGTATACAGGTTTATTGGACTCACAGTTTCAGAGGTTTCAGTGTACAATTGCTGGTTCCAAAGCATAAATGGAAGAGCATGGCAGAAGAACAAGGAAGGCTCAATCCATGACAGCCAGGAATCAGACAGAGTAAGAGCCAGCAAAAAAATGCACCCTCCCAGGTTACCTCCCCAGTGACCCACCTATTCTTCATAGGTCCCACCTTCTAATAGTTTATTCAGCTATGAACTCATCTAACAGTTAATTCATTGATGAGTACAGTACCCCCAAGATGCGCTCATCTTCCAAAAGCCCCAACTCTGAACACATGTGACTTTTGGAAACATTTTAGATCTAAATCATAACATCAACTTAGCTGCTGGGTTTTTCTCTTGTTATAATACATCATCAGAATTAAAATGTAAAACAAACCAGACATAGTGACACATACCTGAAATCCTAAAATTTTAGTAGGCAGAGTAAGAAGGATTGTAAATTTGAGCCAATCTAGGCAACTTAGTAACTCAGAGAGACACTATTTCAAAATAAAAAAGGGAGCAGGGCTAGGGATATAGTTCAGTGCAAAGTCCTTGTTCAAATCCTAGTATCATATAAAAACACGAAAACATTAAAAACTCTCAGTGAAAAAGAAGTCTCTTGAACATTTGAAATTTTATAAGAAAGTTGTTATCTCACTCTAGAAATTTAAAAGTATGTATGTGGGATTCTTTAAAAGTAAAAAGTGAAACATATAGTAAAAAGTGAAACATTTAACAAAAGCTTAAAGAAATAATAGTTCACATCCTTGCTTTTAAAAACAAGTGAATACTATCATTTCTCTTCAGGTCATATAAATCTTTTACCTTTTAAAAACAAATGAAATATTACAGACCTTTGAGAAGAACCTACTTTTAAGTACTTAAGCTTTAGAACAGATACTTGAAATAAATTGTAATGTATGGTGTGCTTTTATTTAAAAAATAGAATCAAAGATCTCTAAATTACATAAAGATCCTTGAGAAATCTTTACAAATTAAATAAACATTATAGCCACATTTCATCCAAATATCTATTATAAATCTTTTATGTTTATCAAATACACTCTCATTTTTGATGATTTCTGCATCTAGTATCTACTGAAACGATGAAAAATGTAATTTCTTCCCTCTCCTTCCCTTCAACAAAAAATCAGAAATTTTAGATGTTTTAAAAAGCAGCACACACCACTGAAAATAAGGAAACTACTTGTTAACTATAAAATACCAAGTATTTTAACCTTTGTATAAATGAAACAGAGAGAAGAAAAAACCTACTGTATTTTATTTTAGGTATGGTGTCTAAAATGGAGTAGCACTAAAACAGATGAAAAAAACCAACCTTTATACTTTAACTTGAAAATGTGTATGCTCTCTTTTTTAAATCTCTTTTCTTAAAGCTATATATTATGAACTTTTTACTGGCATTCTTGAATGAAATTAACAAGTACACTTTTTTTTAAACCAATTTACCTTATTTCTTCTTCGTGCATGAGACTCTAAAGAAAGTCTCTTCTATGAGCAACAGAACTTGTGGAAATCCCTCAACCATACATTCTTTAGAAAAATATTCCTAACCCATTATGCATCTTAATGAGCATTTAGATTTTAGAAACTGCTTATGGCTTATGCTTAAATTTAATGCGCGACCACAGGTTCCAAGGACTAGAGAATCTTACTGGCAGCCAACAGCTCAATGAATGACAGTATTTTTGATAGCCTTAATCTCAAAAATTTAAAGTAATTCATTACAGTCTTAGAAAAACCTAGAGATACTTCTATTTAAAAAATTTACAAACACACAAGGGAAACAAATAAGGAAATAGATGGTTACATCTCTAAAAGCTGGTCCCATTTCAAAATGTATTGTTTGGGGTTAGGAAGTTTTCTATACAAATAAAACTAGAATTTTGTTCCCTCTGCTTTAGAAAAATATTTACCAGTACATGGAACTTCTACCTAAAAGTATAAACCTGCTTAATATTGCTGGACACTGATATAGATGAACAAAAACACAAAGGTGTTTATTCAATTTTTTTGGCATCATAATTTGTATAGTAGTTATAGATCAACATGGAAAAGTTAGAAATATTATTAATGAACACAAGCCCTTGTGTAAATCACACAAGATACCAAAGTATTATACATTCACTGTCATAAAAACTGTACATATATTGTGTTCATCTTTAACACTGCAAAATTTACATTGTATTTTTTTTATCTCTCAAAAAATTAAATTGAAAAAAGTCTTTCTTTTGCCACAGAAGGATAGGTAACTAAGATTCATGAAACTTTTTACAAAATTTCTTGCTTGGGATTTTTCATGAAGGTCTTTTATATATGTCCGTATTGAAGAAAAACTCACTAAATTGTGACTGTTTCGAGTAGATACTTTCACATCTTTGCTGGCTAGATCATGATATATGTAATAACAATTACAATAATAATCCACAGCAATGTGAAATATAAAACTTTGTTCTGTAAATCTCATTTGGTCTCAAAGTAAATCACTTCTTTCATCCACTCATGTTGTCCCTTATTTGATCCACTCGAAATGATAGGTCCTTAAAGGAGGGGCGCTGGTTTACGTTATTGTTCCAGCATTCTGTCATGATCATATAAATCTGTAAAACAAAAAATAAACCAAATTACAATGAACACAAAATATCATCTTTTAAATTGGTGGAAGAGATGAATCTGGAACTCCCACTTAATTTCCCTAAACAGGATTATATGTCAGATGTGCCATGATTCACAATTGTCTGTTAATGCTATTTGGCTAAAAGCAATTTCAGTGACCTTAAGTCTTTAAATAACAAGAAATAGAAAATGCATTATTATGTGGATTAAAAAATATTACCTCATCTGGGCATCCATCTGGTCGTGGTAATCTTCCATTATTCTTTAGGAGTTCTATCAAATGGAACACAATCATCTGTCCTTGTTTGTCATTGCCAATCATACGCATGAACTCCTGAAATACAAATCCATTTTCAATTATTTTTCTTGTATGTTCAAGTTGAAGCAGAATTCTTGTTCAGCTTCTTCCAGTAAGTGGAAAAAATTCAAGTGTACATATATTTTGTATGTTTAAAACCTTTTCAAAACAGACTGTATTAAGCATTAAAAACTTCCCTTTTCAGTCATATTTCTCAAAAGACTATTAAATGTGGAACCTCTATAATGCCATTTTCACAACTGTGTTATCCCAAGTTCCTTTAGAAGGGCTAAAAAACACATGAACACTCAAAACATATGTATGTTTTGTTATTATTGTTTTAACACAATAAAACAATTATACTTTTATTCTAATACTAGAACCAAAGACAAACATTCATGAATACGAATGTTCACTGTGTTTGTAGAAGTGTTAAATGACTGAAAAATGGAAACTGACTGTCCAGAAATACAAAACTCAGAGATGGAAAGAAACTCAGCAATTAAAGACTATATCTGAGGAAAATATTTACTGTCCAGTAAAATACCCAAAATTTAACACTTAATGAGGCTACCAGGCTGTACAGTATGACCTTAGTTGTATAAAACAATATATATTTCTTCATGTTACTTTTATATTAAAATAAGTAATCCTAAAAGAAAATACATTAAAATATTAAAATGGTTGTCTTTAGTTATGTTAGAGATGATTTTTATATTTTATAGTTTCTTATGCTGAAGCACAGGAAAAATCACTTTGAAAGTTTAACTTGTACAATAATTCCTAGAATGAGTGAGCTTACTGAATTTACTGAAAGTAATATTAAGAGATGTCATGGTTTGGATGTAGTTTGCCCTCTATAGGTTTGTATGCCAGAATCTTGGTCTACAGTATGGCAATGTTAAAGTAGGGACTTTCCGGGCTGGGGATTTAGTTCAGTGGCATAAGCGCCTGCCTTGCAAGTGCGTGGTCGTGAGTTCGATCCCTAGTATCGATAAAAACGAAAAAGACAAAAAAAAAAAAAAAAAATAAAATAAAAAGTAGGGACTTTCCAGAGTGAGGGCCAGTGGAAGATAATCAGATCACAGAGGGCACAGCTTTCAGAAGGGGATTAATTTTCCAAAGGGATTAATGCTAGACTCATTGCTACTTCTCATAGGAGCAAACTATTTTATAGAAAACAGTAAGACTTTCTGGCTCCTTCCTGGCTCTCTGGTTTCAAATCTTGCTGTATGATCCCTCCTACTCACAGACAGTTCCCTTTCTGCTTATGTGTCATTATGAGACCTAGTGAAGGAGTCTTGTGCTGAAAGCTGAAAAGATGTAGCTGCTTGACACTGGACTCCATAACTCTGAGGTAAATAAACCTATTTCTTTACAAAGTAAAATTTTGACTACTTTGTTGTTACATCAGCATAAAATGAACTAATACAAGAGAGTATACTAATCAATGCTCTAATATCCCCCTTTTAAAACTTTAAGTTACTGAAAAGTTTACAGTTATTTTGCTGGATACTGCCTTAAAAATAAGCAATATGATCTTCTAAAACGAGTCCTAAACTAATTTACGTTTACTGAACAATGTTTTTCTTGTGTTAAAAAAATGAAAGTAAATAAAAAGCACACTGACTGCTGGTGGACTTTTACTCTTCTCAATATATGTGAAAAGTTCATAAAGAACTACTCCAAAACTCCAAACATCTGAGGCCACAGAAAACTTGCTCTCTGTCAGAGATTCTGGAGCATACCTAGAAAACACAGAAAGTATTTTAAAAACTTCATATTCCAATTCATTCATTCATTCATTCACTCATGTTTTTTGAGACAGGGTCTCACTTTGTAGTGTAGCCTGGCCTTGAACTGACTATGTAGCCCAGGCTGGTCTCAAACTCCCAACAATCCTCCTGCCTCTACCTCTTGAGTGCTGGTTTTATAGATATGTGCTACCGCTCCTGGCTTGATGTTATCTGCAAATCACTATATTTAAAAGCAGACTAACAAGTTGGGCCTAGTAGCACATGCTGTAATCCCAGCACTCAGGAGGCGGAGTCAGGTGGATCACTATGAGTTTGAGGCCAGCCTGGGCTCCATAGTGAATTCAAGGCCAGCCTTCACTACAAACCAAGACCTTGTCTAAAAAAACCTAAGTAAATTAATACATACTGTATTTGCCCCAAAATAAGATTGGGTCTTATAGTAATTTTTCCTCCAAAAGATGCAATAAGGCTTATTTTCAGTAGATGTCTTTTTTTATGTACAACGATTTGTATTTATTCATATATGACAATCTACATTTACTTCAATATATTCATACCATCTAGAACATTACCATAACCCTCCAAACCCCAAATTCTGACCAGAATTTTTTGTAACTCCGTTTCCTGTAGATCCATTGGCCCCTGTCTCTCATGTCCAGCAATAGAGTTCTCTTTAAATGACTATTTCTTGTCCATGTAGCCAGCTTATATCCCTTGGATAGTATGATTCACTTATATATTAAAATATCTCAAATATATAAACATCTTTGATTTTTCTTCAGTGCTCTCGACTACTTGAAGATTTCTACATAAAGATTGAAAGGCACACAAAACTCCATTTCTACCTTTGCAAACCCTACTGATTATTTTCCTTATGCAATGAGTGGCATCACAATCAATTTAAGTGCTCAAGCTGGATTCCTCTTTCACTCCAGTGTCTAATGAGCCACCAGTTCATTTTATAATATATTTAAATATATCTCAAATCAGTCTCTGAAGCCACTATCCACTTATGACTAGCACAGAAGTCTTCAAACCAATGCAGAGTAACCCCCAAGGATGCACAATGGTTACCAAAAGGATATGTTATAGTAACAACAGTATAAGGATTCTTTAGGAGTTCAAATCCCTGCTTTAACAATTTTTAAAAAACACTTAACACAGATTTGCTACATTTAATCTTACCCTCTTTAAGATAAAAAAAACAAGTGTGTAGGACTGATAATCATATTACTAAGTTCTTGTTGGATCATTGAGAAGAACTGTTTGCAGTGTCATTGTTTGACTATCATTTTATATGCTTTAATTTTGTAACGAGCAACTATTTCTAAGATGATGGTATGTAACTTATCGACTGATGATTTCTTACTCTTTATTTTTCTGAAATTCTGTATTGTTTCTACCTTTTTTATCTGTTTTTTTTTCTTTAAATAAAAAAAAAAAAAACTTAAACAGAAGCATTCCCTGCTAGTACTTAGTATCAATCCATAGGGCAACATGCTGACTGTATTTATAGCTAAAACAGATGAGCATTTTGAACAATAAAAGCATTATACATGAGAAAGATCTTTTTAAATGAAATTGGATTTTTAAAAAATGTATGATGGTTAAATGTGATTTCTTTTATATTTCATTCACATTTAGTATTTGAATGTGTTCCCTCCAAAATTCATGTTAAGATTTGATAGTCAGTGTAATAGTATTAAGCAGGAGGCTTTTTAAAGATGATTAGGCCAGGGCTCAAGCTTTAGCTCAGTGGCACAAGCGCCTGCCTAGCAAGCATGAGGTCATGAGTTCAATCCCTAGTGCCCCCCCCAAAAAAAAAGAGAGAGAGAGGGATATTAGGCCATAAGAATGCCTCCCTCATGCATAGACCCCTACAAAAGAGACTCATCAGTTTCTCTTGACTTTCTGCTTCCTCCATTTGAGGATGTAATGTTCCTACCCTCCAGAGGATGCAGCATCAAGGCAGATCTAAGAAACAAAGGCCAGACCTCACAAGACAACTGAACTAACACAGACTCTCAGCATCCAGCACTGTGAGAAATATATTTTGATGTTTCATAAATTACTCAGTCAATGGAATTTTGTTAGAATGACACAAATGGATTAAAACAATTTACTATTCAATAAGTTAACTAAAACTTAAAACCTTTTTTTTTTTTTTTTTGGTGCCTGGGATTGAACTCACAACTTTGTGCTTGCAAGGCAGGCGCTTATGCCACTGAGCTAAACCCCTAGTCCCTGAAACCTATTTTATTAACCCATGTTCTGATACTTTTACACAAAATCCAGTCAACTTCACTATATAAAATGTTTAATATTTTTACTTTCTATGAAAATAGAACTGTACATCAAATGCCTATCTGATTAGCTTCCTATAGTATATCTTTTGTTTTCATTAAATACATAATCCATTAACATAACTTAATATGAAATTATACAAGATGTACAGTTTTTCTTTATTACTCTCATGATTTATTATGCCAGATATTCAAGCACAGAAAGAAGTCCCAAATATTACATAATTTGGTAGCTCTATTTATGTATGACAAAGAATACAAAATTAAGCATGAAAATGAATATTAAACATTAAAAAGAAATTTCAGGAAGGAGTTATGCTTCAGTGGCTTCATATAAACATTTCTCTGTGCATGTGTCTAACATTTATTTCTCAGAATTTATTTTGGGCTTTTGTTGCTAAGAAATGAACTCAAGGCCTTATACAGGTTAATATCAGCTTTTTAAAATAATATTTTATAACTTTAAGATCTTACTTGACTTGAAAAATAAAGTCAGACTTTTGAGGCCTTGCATAGCCAAATAGGTTAGAGGAAGGGCAGCCCTCATGAAATCAATTTAACCTTTAAGGCTACTCAAATGTGTGCCACATTTAAATTACATATAATAAAAGATATTACTAAAATATATTGGAATTATTTAAAAATTATCAATTAAAAATGAGAGGATATGACAGTTTTTAAAAATTATTGAGTCTTAATATACAAAATATTTGAAATTAGCCTAGATCCCTGCAAAATCTACCAAGTTAGCTGCCTCTCTATTGGCCTCTTTTTATAGTGTACACTCTGTATCAGTCTTCTGGTCTCAGGATCCCTTATAACTCTTAATTATTAAGGTCCTCTTAAAACTTTAGTTTATGTGAGGCTTTTTGCCATATTAGTTATTAAAACTAAGAAAATATAAAAATTATGGGTCCATTAAGGGAAGGGATTACAATAGTGGCAGCAACCGATGGCACAGGTATTACTGTGATTTTTTTTTAAGACAAAAGATTTAAATTCTATTATTTGCATTAGTACTTCTAATTTTCAGTTCAGAGATTAAGAATTAAATAAAACATACTAGCTTTACACAGTGGCAGAATTGTAGCTAGTGAGGCTTACCTGAACAAAGCACAATTATTGCTAATTAAATAAAATATACTTACATAAACAAAGCTCCTTTAATGCTAATACCTGACTCAAACTACATTGTCTAATAGTATTAAAGTCCATTGGAAATGTATACAAACCAAAACAAATATATTTCATTAAAACAGTACTAGAAAAAAAGATACACCATAAAGGAATGAAGACATAAAAAACTTTGTATCAACAGAAACAATAATATGTATCTTGAACAAAGCTCTGAATAGTCCTCACAACTAACTGACAATTTTAACTGAAGGATTTCAGACTTCAGTTTTTCACATTTTGCAATGTTTACATAGATTTTAGTAATTCAACATCCTTATCTGAAAATTCAATTCTGAAATGCTCTAAAATCTGCAAATTTTTGAGTGCCATATTAGTATTCAATGTTAGGATTCAGATTTCAGTGCTCTAAATTTTGGATTTTCAGATTAGGAATGTTCATTTGTAATAATAATACATATTTTCCAAGAGTTATGAGTATTAAATCCATGAAATGCATTTAGCCCAAATGAAAGCATGTACTTGTTTACTATAAAATTTAAACATTCTTAAATACAGAATCATTATAAGTAACTATAAAATAAAATCTGAAGTTTGTGTTCTACAGTTTTTTGATGTTCTGAAAAACACTGTACTTACCAGAATATGGGACTTTCACCAGGTTCTTTCACTTTGTAGTATTCTTTGTCTTGTGGCAAGACTTTGGTTAATCCAAAATCTCCAATTTTAACTCTGTTCTCATTCTCCACCAATATATTTCTTGTTGCCAGATCTCTGTGTATATACCTTTTTGTGCCAAGGTACTCCATACCCTATGTTAAAGCAGTATTCTTTTAGCTAATTGTATAAACATAATTTAAGTTGCTTTCCCTCCATAAATTCCTTTTTTAAGCTAAGAAATAGTCTAAAGAATTTCTTAATTATTTCAACATGCTAGCTTCATCTACAATAAAACCCAAAATATTAGGTACCTTGCATATCTGAGATGTATATTGCAGAAGTTTTTTGTGATCTATCCGTTCTTTGTGTTTTTGGAGGTAGTCTCGTAAACTCCCATATGGTAAATATTCCATAATTAATCTTAGATTACGCCGCCCTTTTAATACACAAATGGAACAAAATGTTTTATTTTGATAAAATACTGCTGCAATACTAGGAAAAATTACTCTCTTCCTCCCTCTCTCTCTTTCTGTCTCTGTCTCTCTCTGTCTTCTAGGTCTAAAATGACAACATTTTACAGTAAATTAAAGATGATGTAGTGTGACAGGGTCTTTGAATTAAAAAATTTTGGGAAAGAAACTATAAAAATAATTGTTTTAGTCTTTAACTCTTCAGGCAAACCATAAGTTGGTAAGAAAGCTTTTCTTAGTAAGAAAACTTTTCTAAATAATGAACTAAATTGTATAATTTAAAAATATCATTTTGATAAAAATATAAGGAAAGGTAATTTTTAAAATAAAAATTCTCTTAAATTTAAGCAAGTGGTGAACAGAGTAATTACTCAACTACCTGAAGACTTTCTGTAGTTCTCTCCCATGATCACCACACACAATCTCTAGTTATCTAAAATGCATCTGTCTCTCTCTCTGGATACTAGCATACGCTTAAGTCCAGATCTTTAGACATTGTGTTTCTATTACCTAAAATGCCAAGACATACTGTAAGTTTAAAAGAGATTTCAATGAGCAACATACCAGCACTGTAGCAGACTCCTTTGTACTTTACAATGTTATCATGCTGTAGGGATTTCAAGATTTCAATTTCCCTTTCAAAATCTCTGAGGTGCTCCTCGGTACTGTGCTGGAGCTTTTTTACAGCTACCACCTCCCCAGTATTATCCTCTAGAGGGTCATACCGGCACATCTCCACACTTCCAAAATTACCCTAAAGAACATGCTACATTAGAAAGGAAAACCTCAAGTTTTCAAGACAAATTATTAATCAACTCATAAAATGTAAAAAACCCTAGCAGCAAGAATTAGGAGACGTATATCTAAACTTACATAAGGCAACTTTTTGAGCAAGAAAAGGAAATACCATCTCAATAAGTAAAGAGTAGTAAACATATAAATTCCATTTCTTCAAAAAGAAATACAGGCTGAAAAATAAGAAAGGGATTAAAAAATGATAAGCATGAATTATTAGGCTATGCAAAAAGACATGCCACAGGATTCCTAAATTTCTGTCAGAGATTTCAGAAAGAACTTTCTTTCTTTACATCCTCTGATAGTACCATTACTGAGCTTGATGAAATAAAGGTCTTGTGTGGACTGAATGTGCCCCCTTAAATTTATTTGATGAACTTCTAATTCTCAGTGTGACTGTATTTGGAGATAAGGCCCTGTGAGGAAGTAATAAAGGCTAAAAGAGGATATAAGAGTTACACCCTAGTGCAACATGGCTGCTGCCCTTCTAATAACAGGAGCTTTCTCTCCTATGGATGCTGAAAAAGTGGTCATTTGCCAATCAGAAAAAAGGTTTAACAAGAAGTACACATGGCCAGTAAATATGCTAAAAGATGTTCAATATCACCAGCTCTTGGAGAAATGTAAATTAAAATGACATTGAAATACTACCTTCCTCCCGAAAAAGTGGTTATCACCAAGAAATCAAATATATAAGAAATGCTGGTGAGGCTTTGGGGTAGAAGGAATCCTTTTGCATTGTTGGTGATAATACAAATAAGTACAACCACTATAGAGATCAGTGTAAAGATTCCTCAAAACACTAAAAAAAGCAATTCCATTTGATCCATTCTAGGAACCTTCCTGAAAGAGTTAAAGTAATCATATTATGGTGATACATGCATAACTATGTTTACAGTAGCAGAATTTTGAATAGTTAAATCTTAGAAATAGTCTATATGTCCATCAACAGTTGAATGGATAAAGAAAATGGGGCATTTATACACAATAGAGTACTACTCTGCCACAAAGATTGTAAACTTGAGGCATCTATGGGTACATAGTTGCACCTGAAGACTATAGTGTTAAGTGAAATAAATCAGTCACAAAAGTTTAACAAATCATGGTTTCTCTTATATGAGAAAGTCAAAATATAAATAAAGAGCAAAATAAAGAACAGATATAGGAAGTAGAGAGATCATTTTCAAATGGGAAGGGGAACAAGAGATAGAGAGGGGAGGAAAGAAAGCGAAAACATTGAAAAAAAAGAGAAAGAAAAATGGAAATAGAGCTTTTTCAAATAGGAAGGGGAGAGAGTTGGAGAGAGCATAGAAGAATGGAAGGGAAGGGGACAAAAAATTTAAGGTGTGTTATAGACATGTACAAACTCATGATAAATGCAATCATTATGTACTATAAGCATCTACTACTAAAAATACATTAACTAAAAAAAGAGGCCTAATTAAATCCTGCTGGAATTTTAACCTTGAACTTTTCAGTCCTCCAGATCTGTGAGCAATGTTATTTTTTTAAGCTGCCCACCCTGTGGTGTTTTTTATGGTAGCCCAAGCAGGCTAGTACAGTGACACTTATTTGTTTAAGAAAGTAAAACTTTAGCTAGGCATGATGGCACACACCTACAATCTCTGTGCTATGGGAGTGTGTGTGTGAGGCAAAGGAACTAAAAGTTTCAGTTCTACCTGGATAATTTAGCAAATAGGCAAGACCTTGTCTCAAAAAAAAAAAAAAAAATGGCTGGGATGTATTTTAGTGCAAAGAATGGTCCTGACCTTAATCCCCACTACCAAAACCAATTTATACAAATAATACTATATGTATTTCTAAATTAAATCTCTAATTACAGAGTTCAAGAAGACCACAGCAAGGTAAATAAAACCTGAGACTCTTGAGTTGGACTAGAGTTAGAATCTTGGTCACTGCTTACTATTTTTGTAACCCTGCACAATTGATTTCCCTGTTTGAACAACTCTTCTTTCCTCCTTAAAGTAGAGGATCAATGTCTGTCTCATATTGCTGCTCTCAGACATCATTCCAAAAGATATTTCAAAAACAAAATTGGGGAATAAGTTTTATATCCTTTCCCCCTATTTAACAAATGTGCCAATAAAATTTATTTTCCAGTGCCATTATATATTCCTTGAAAAAAGAATCTTAAGTAGAATCTTAAGTAGTCAGTCAATGTTAAAGATTACTTTGCAATGGAAATGATAAAGTTATATCAGTTCTTTTTCTTATCACATCAGAGGTAGAAGTACAAATAGCAAAAAACATAGTTTTGTATTTTTCCTACTCTAGAATATGAAGTGGAACAAAATCAGGGGAAGGAGGAAAATATAATTGTGGATACTACTGAAAACAGAGTTTAAACAATCAGGAGATCTACCCACTTAGGAAAGGAAAGAACTGAATTTGGAACGGACTTATAGGCCCTAAGAAGAAAGTGTCATACCCAAATAAATAGCCTAATGATGCATCTCAAGCTTCTAGAAAAGAAAGAACAAACAAACCCCAAACCAGCAGAAGGAAGGAAATGATAAAGATCAAAGTGGAAATTAGTAAAGTTGAAATTTTAAAAAATAAAAAGGTGAATGAATCAGAATTGGTTCACTGAAAAGATTGATAAGCCCTCAGCAAAACTTATGAAAGAGAAGACCCAAACTAGTAAAATTCAAAATAAAAGATAAAATTATAGTAAATACCACTGAAATCCACAAGGTAATCAGAAAGTATTTTCAAAAATTATATGCCAACATATTGGAGAATCTGGAAGAAACTGATAAATTCTTAAGACACATCATAGCTAAACTGAGTTATGCAAATATACAGTCTTAACAGATTTATAATAAGTAATGAGAGAAGCAGTAATGAATATTGTTGGAACCAGGAAAAGCCCAGGACCAGATGGATTTATGGCTGAATCCTACCAGATCTTTAAAGAACTAACATCATGCTCCTCAAACTTGTCCATACAATGTTTATCCTCCCAAATTGATTTTATGACATGAGAACTACCCCGACACTAAAATTGGATAAAAAAGGAAAACTGCAGATCAATATCCTTGATGAACACAGACTCAAAATCCTTAATAAGATCCTTGTTAACACAATAGAGTATCACATGAAGAAAATCATATTATCTTGACTAAGTTGGTTTTATCACAGGGATGCAAGGATAGTTAAACACACATAAATCAATAAATCAGTAAAATCATAAATAGAATTGAAGATAAAAACTGTATGATCGGGGCTGGGGATTTAGCTCAGCAGCATAAGTGCCTGCCTTGCAAGCGCGTGGTCGTGAGTTCGATCCCCAGTACCGGAAAAAAAAAACAAAACCAAAACAACTATATGATCATCTTAATAGATGCTGAAAAGGTATCTGAAAAAACCCGGGATCCCTTCACAATAAAAATCCTACTGAAAATAGCTAAAGAAGGAACTTACCTTAAAATTATAAATATTACCTATAATGATCCCACAACCAACATCATATTAAATAGAAAAAACCTAAAACCTTCCTTCTAAAACCTATAACAAGACACAGGTGTTCTCTCGTGTTCAACACAGTACTCAAAACTTTAACCAAAACAATCAGACAAGAGAAAGAAGTAAAAGGAATAGTCTACTATGTTTCTTTATTATCTAAATCAGTAATGTTTTAATCTATTTTTACATCTATTTCTTAAATATCAGTATATTATAAAATGTATTGTTTTTGACGTTTCTTAAATATCAGTATATTATAAAATATAATTAAAATATTATCAATTGAAGATAATGAAACCACTAGATTTCCTTTTATTTCAAATAAATTGGATATTCTTTTCTAAAAGTTTCTCTCTAGTCTACCAGAAAAACTCTCTAAGAAAGATAAAAACTCACTAAAGGTTGAACTTAAGGACTGGAGAAAATAAATGGTTTTTTAGAGTAAAATAATTTTTATGATTTTATGACCAACATCTTTAATCACTGATCCAATGACTAGTGTTTATGGCCATGAAAATATTTGTATACAACAACAAGTTGATATGTATTCAACAACAAACCCACAAATAAATTGTATTACACTAACTTCTTCCTTTTCCATAAACAATTTAGTCTGCTATTGGATCAACATAAAATCTCTGAATGGGAATACAAATTATTTTATGTATTAATAGCATAATATATGGTCTATCACAGAAAGATAATAAATGATGATACTGCAGCTAAAGTATACACACACAAAATCAAATACTTATATGGGAAAATGGAAATAGTATGGAAGTAGGAGCAGGAAAACTAAAGTCCCATTTCACATCTGCTAATATATTGCTGTATGACCACAAACAAGTTATTTATTTTGAAGAGAATAAATAAAACTAAACAAAATAAAACCAAATAGAGTAAATCAAAACAAAACAGTGAACATGATGCAGGACTTTAAAACAAAACAACAGGAAATCAACAATGGCTACCATAATGCCTCTTGTTATCTTCAAAGTATCTGACTATACCATCAAGACATAATACAATAATAAAAAAAAAGTGGAATAAAATCAAAACAAAGCAATGAAAGTGATAAAAGGCTTCAAAACAGGGTAAAAGGAAATCAACAATGGATACCATAATATATCTTGTTATCTTCGAAATAGTTACCCATGCCATCGGATATAATAACATCAAATAAAACAGAATAAAACCAAACTAAACAATGAAAATGATACAAGGATTTAAAACAAGATAATAGGAAATTAACAATGGCTACCATCTTCCTTTTTTAGAAATTTCTGCCCCTTTTACTTTCACAATATCTGTTGAGCATTTTAGATCCCACTAACTCCTTTTTTTTTTTAATTAGGGAGACAACATAATGTTTACCCGTGTGACTTTGACCCATTTCATTCATGAGCATGATCTCAAGTTGCATACACTTAACTACAAGAGCCCCTATGTTACCCTTCTTTATAGCTGAGTAGCTTTCCATTGTTTAAAAATGTCACATCTTTCTTATCCACTTTGCAGTTGATAGGCAAGCTACCCTGCTTTTTCCTGGTTCTCTGTCACATGGAGCATCATTTTCTCTCCTTTGACTTTTAGTCTATGAATTTTCTTTCAAGTTAAATGTGTTTCTTGTATAAAGCACATTGATGGATCCTGTCTCCTGATCTATACTATACTGTGTCTTTTTATTGGTAAATTGAGGTCATCTACATTAATGGTTATGGTCAACATGTACTGGCTTGTCTCTGCCCTGTTATTTTCCTGCTGTTGGCTCCTTACGTTCCACTGCTTGCCCTACTTGGTGATCCCTCTCTGCCACTGTTCCTCAAACCTTGGTCATTTTTATTTCTCTCTAGAATGTTGTTCAGTATTTCCTGTAGGGTTGGTTTGGTGGTTATGAATTCCTATAGTTTTTCTTTGTTGTGGAAATATCTTGTTTCTCCATAATTTTGAAAGACAGTTTTGCAGAATACATCAATAATCTGGGTTGGAAGCTGTTTTCTTTCAGACTTAAAATACTTCACTCCCAACTTCTTGACTTGATGGTTTGTGTTAAGTCTGTCGTGATTCTGATGGGATTTCCCTTATAGGTGATCTGTTTCTTTTCTCTAACAGCTTTTCATATTGTTCTTGTGCTAAATTTATGAGATCTTGATTATTATATGTCTGGGTGTAGATTTATTTTGGTTATGCCTAGTTGGAGTTCTATATGACTCACTTAACTGTATGTCTGTTCCTTTTCCCATGCATGGGAAGTTTTCTGCTATTACTTCCATAAAAAGTCTTTTTACATTATTTGTGTTGACCCCTGCTTTTTTTGTTGATATCTATCACTTGTAAGTTATGTTTCTTTGTGCTGCCTTGCAGTCACTGAATTGTTATTTTCTGATTCCTTTTTATTTTTAACAGATCTTTCTTTTGTCATTGCAAGCTGCAAATCTGTCTTCAAGTCTGAAAGGCAGTTTCTTTCAAGCAATTTTGCCAACTTTCAATGGAGTTTTTAATTTTCTGATATCTCTTTGAATCTTTTTTATGTATTCTAAACCTTTTTTATATTGCTTATTCAAGGTTTTCCTATGCTCCTCTATTTTTTATCTATGTATTCTTTAGAGATACTTAGCAATTCTTTTGTTTTTCATTTTTTATCTGAGATAGTATTTCTGCTCTAATTTCTTTTTACAGCCTCATGAAGTTGTTTTTTTTTGCTATCACTTCAGAAGCTTCCAGTGTGCAGCTTCCAGTCTCTGCCATGTTTGCATCTCCTGGACTTGCTCTGTATGGGCTGGAAGGCACAGACATTGCCTTTCTCTTCGTCTTGATGTTTCTCTAGGTTCTTCCCGACAAGTGGATAATGGGCCCCTGGGAATTTCCTGTGTTGACTATGAGTTCTCCAAGGTGTGGATGGCTGGTTCTTCTGGCCAGTGCTGGCTATGGGTACCCAATAGTGGTTGGTGGGTGCACAGGTGCAGAGCTGGCTGCTGCTTTTCCTAGCCTGTGCTGGTCACCAGTGGGAAGTGTCCCCAGTAGACTGATGTGCAAGTGGGAGCAGGGCTGGCTGTTGCTTCTCCTGAGGCGGCACTGCATGGCTTGGTTTCCTAGGTTCTTTCTGAAGCAGGCCACAGCAAACAGGAGCCACAAAACGTGGTATAGCAAGTACTCTGCTCTCAGTATTGTACTCAGGACACGTAACAGGTGCCATCTATAAGCAAGTTATTTAACATCTCTGTATCTCAAGTTTTCTCATCATAAAAGGAAGCGATTACTTTTGCATCTAAAGCATCATTTCTCAAACGCTTCTAGAAAATACTTTCTATAAATGTCTATATATAGTTGATGAAGGGACTGAAAAGTCTTCCACGGTCTAATAAGCTCTAAGCACAGTCTAGTAAGTTCAAAGCACAGTGCATACCACCAAAAAGATGATGCTAGCAACACAGAGTTACAGCTAAGTCAGACAATTTGGCTGGAAGCTTCTAAGATGTTTCTCAATGGTCCTTAGCCTCTAACATCCATGTTCTTTGATAATCCTTTCCTCGATTATGTGGACTAGATTTATTGATATGCTTGCAATAGACTATGGCAAGAATAATGAAATACTATCTGGGATTAGGTCATAAATAATTTTTGGTTTCCATCTTGGGTGTTTGCTTTCAGCTGCCATGTGCAGCTCTGTGGAGAGGTATGTGCAATAAGCTTGGAAGCAGATCTGCTGAGGCCTTCAATAATTCTTTTGAAGGGAACTGAGAAATCTTTCTTTGTCAAGCCTCAGGTGAGACGGTAAGGCCTGGCTGACACCTTGATTATAGTCTTGTGTAAAATCTTGATTCAGTACAATCCTAGTTAAATTGAAGATAGCAAATGTTTGTTGTTTTTGGCTGTTAAGTTTAAAGCTTACAACAGATAACTAAAATACTCAAATACCTAAACTATTTTTTCTCCTGTTGTTGTACCTCTTCAAATGTTTCTAAGAGTATGCAGAAATCAAAAGATGAACAAAAAGTACCAATATAAGTCAATACTTTTTACTATAATACCAATGTTTAGCTCCAGTAAAGCTTAATTAGAACATTCATTTTAGTTTTAAGACCAAAGGGAGCTTTTCATATTGCATCCATATCAAAATCCAATTTGTAATGATAAATGGTACAGATTCTTATTCTAGCAAGCTTATAAAAAGAAAAGGCTAGGCATGGTAGTGCAGCCTGTAATCCCAACACTTGGGAAACAAGAGGATTGTTGCAAGTTCAAGACAGTCTGGGCTACAAAGTGGGATCAAGGCCAGCCTTAAATGTATAGTGAGACCCTATTTCAAAAGGACAAATACTAAATTAAAGAATTTAGAAAAAGAAGAGTAAGAAAAAGAAACACAAAAAGAAAAAAGAGAAAGAAAAAGAGAAAGTTTAGCACTCTAGTTAGTGCTGCTAAGAATTGAACCTTTTCTGCTTTTATTTATAATATGTAGGCTACACATGACTATACAACCTTTTAACACTCTTATCTGCTAGTGAACACAGTCCAGTCAACATACTAATTCATAAGCAATCAAAATAATCATTTTACCCTGAGATTACTAAAAGTAGAAAGGCAGAAAGAAAGACTGAAATGTTATTTTCTGTATCCTACTGACTCACTTAGAGTGAACTACAAACTCTCTCTGCTGAGCAAAGATTCCATGTCAAATCAGTTCTGGAAGGACTCCATGTCAGTTCTGGAAGGAATGCCTAATTCACTATCCTCCTGAAGTTGTTCAATGCACACTGTATTAAAGGCTCTAAATTCTTTGGTAAAGAAAGTTGTTTATCTAGCATAGCATTTTTCTAACATTTATCAGCTGATCCCTTTTTAAAAATAATATTTTAATAAATATCCCTTAAAATTTTCATAGGAAGTATACTTTGCAGGCTCTCTGAAGCTTTTTCTGGTCCTAAATAAAAGACTGTATGACTGTTTCATTTACACAACTTAAAACAATTTACCTTGCCAAGTTGCTGTAGAAATTTTAAGTGTCTTTCTTCAAACTGTGTAGGGTCTCTATCTTCAAAAGCACCAGAAGACAATGAAGCAGTCATCCTCGTGTTTGGTAACATGTCATTTTCTGTTAACAGTTCATAATCTGTAGAAATAAAGAATATCACCAGTTTAAAATGGCAAACATACTCTTCAGGTTAAATTGATATACATTAAGTTGACAAAATAATCAGGATGAGTTAGAAATACATTTGATACAGGGACATTCAAATGGTTTAAATTATACTAATGGAAGCCTTTATTACTCATAGGCTTTTGAGAAAGATCTTGGAAAGAATAAAGGATTGCTTTTTAGAATAGGTAGTTGCCAGGTGTGATGACGCTCTCCTATAATCCCAGTACTCAGGAGGCTGAGGCAGGAGGATCATGTGAGTTCACGGCTAGCCTGAGCTGCAAAATGAGTTCAAGGACAGCCCACTGTATATTGCATGTTCAAACCCTGTCTTAAAAATACAAATTACAAAAAAATAAATAGGTACTTTTAATACTCATGAATTAAGGTCATATTCTGACTTTTGTAGTGAGATTGGTGAGTAATACTGAAGCAAGATGTTCCTATGGGTCAACCACATGTATTTAGATCATATTTTAAAGCTTAGAACAAACAAAAACAAACCTACCTCATGTTTAGAAAGTGAATCAATTATAAACTATATGGCAACTACTTAAAAGTCAAAAGAATCATTATTAAAAGGCTGTGGTAGCCAAATAAAAGTTCTTCTCATTAATTGGCATACTAAATTAGGTAGAAGTCTAATATTTCCAGGCCACCGGGATGTAGTAAGTTTTGTATGTTCTTTTAATTTTTGAATAAATAAAACTAGACTACTGAGAGAGAAAAAGGCCTTAAAACTGCTCAAAAAGATTATAATATGTATAAAGCATGAGAAATCATATATGTACATAGTACATTAAGAGATTGGTAGGAATTTTTGGGAAGGGATTAAAAAATTAGTAAACATTCAATATATACAACAAAGATAAATAGTGATACCTGAAGTATCATACCTGGAGTGAATAAACTGTTAAGATCTCGTATGATGGCTCTGAAAGAAGGCCTAAAATCTGGTTCATAATCCATACAATTATTTATAAGGTTTGCTAATTCTGTCCATTTTGGTGCAGGAAGCTGGTGCCTATCTTCATAAAACTGTAATTTCTACAATTAGAGAATCAAATGTTAAGAATAAATTGTACCAAACTTTTAAAAATTAAGATGTGCTAAGAAATAGTGAATCTGTGAAAGAAATATGATGGGTTACACACACAGCAATTCTAATTTCAGTCTGTATCAACTTACTCTTTGAGAATCTAGAGCACTCAGAGGTTTATCTCCTCCACTGCAGATTTCCCACAAAGTAGTACCAAAGCTCCATTTGTCTGTTGCCAAATTTAGATTTTTAGGATTTTCAATGCATTCTGGTGGTACCCATGGTATTCTCTCCTGAAGAACTTTTAAATGACAGGAATAACGAACAGTTAAAAAATCCCTACAAGTAAACAATTATTTTATATGCAAATATTTTTCAGCTTCATTTGAATAAACTAATCTTTTTTTGTTGGAGCAGAGTATTCATGTGCATAAAGCTTAGGAGCTGAAGTGACATTTTAGATCACCCAATTCAGTATCTAAGCTTTAACAAGAACAACACTCAGATCCACAAAGATTAATTATTAATTTGTTAGTACAAAGACAAGATCAGAATCCTGTACAGATATTCCTCTTTTAATGAACTACCTGTTTATTGACTGCAGATTTATGACCTATCTCTTGGACTTATGACCTTTTTTTGTATAATTCTGTACACCTTGTTTACACCATCTTTTTTTTAACAGTATACCTCGTTCATATGGTACTATTTGCTGATTGTGCTGTACAGCACAACACTGTAGTTTTATGTTGTTATATATTACAGTACTACATAAAAGCTATGCAAGTAAAAGCGAAGTCATCAATGTCTCCTGTAATCCCAGCACTCAGAAGGCTGAGGCAGGAGGATCAAGTGAGTTTATGGCCTGCCTGAGCTACAAAATGATTTCAAAGACAGCCTAGTATATACTGCATGTTCAAACCCTGTCTTAAAAATAACAAATTACAAAAAAATAAATAGGTTCTTTTAGCACTCATGAATTTGAGGTCATGTTTTGACTTTTGTAGTGAGATTGGTAAGTATGAAGCAAGACGTACCTGACCATTTCTGGCCATTTCTTTGTCCTGAATATTGTAATGTACATACTATCTATAATTTCTCATTTAGCAACTAATTCAGATGATGACCCAATTGCCGGGTCTGAACTCGGGCATTAAATGAAGAATGTCTGTCCAATGAATTCCAGATCCATTAAACTTCTTCCTCAGTGGAAGAAGTGTCTCAACTAGTATCTCACTTTCTCTGCTTCCTACTAGTTCTTTCAAGAAAGTAAGAGACCTACAAAATTTGTCTTAAAATTGCTTTTCAAAATATCTTTATAGTTTTACAATGTATAAATAGTAAGAGTAATTTTACAATATTGAAGATGTTTTAATCATTTAATAGTAGTGGCCTTGCAGAGACATGAGGACCAACAAGCATTTATCATTACAGAAGATGAGTGACTTAAGTTATATGAAGATAATTCTGGGTATGCAGTTGATACATTTCTAGTATTTAGAGCATAAAATTGTCCAAGAAGAGTTTCTGTGGAACATGACCCTTCTAGAAAATGGTATTCTGACACAGATAAAGAATGAAGGATAATTCATTACTTTTTTTTTTTTTTTGGTGGTACCGGGGATTGAACTCACAACTTCATACTTGCCAGGCAGTACTTACGCTGCTGAGCTAAATCCCCAGCCTCATTACATATTTTGGTAAAGCGGTGTGAGTAGTTTTGCTTATAATCAAGAGATGAAAGATGATATTGTGTCCTTTCTCCTTTACCACATGAATACATTGTTTACTTCCCATTCCAATAGAACTAATACCAGAACCAATACTCTAGAAGATTTTCTGTCCCATACTACTACTTTAATATTATTGTCTTCACTATTGACTAAACCACTAAGTTAAGTACTGGTGATTCAAATAGGATACCACATATCAATCCACAAAAATCGATCAATATAGATTCTAAATTTAGCATATTCAACTAATAAAATTAGCTAAGATAATCTAACACAATTATAACATTATTTAGACCAAAAAAATATGCTCTCAACATTTGACTGAAGTTTTTACTTTTAACTTACTGTATTAGATAGAAAATTAAGACACAGGAATAAGGTTTTAAAAATTTTAAATGTCAGAGATACTAATAAGGTCTCAAGGTAAATAATATATTTTCAAAAAATTTTTATTGACTAGAGAAATTTTTTTAAAAAATGTACCATAGCACAAAAATATTAGAAAATTTCACATTAAAATATGGATAAAATTCTACCTACCATACATGATTAAGAATGAAAACTTTTAAAATTATTTTATAAGGCATGATGACATGCTTCCAAGAAGAAATGGGTAGAGACCAGGATATAACTGTAACAATTTAAATTGCAAAAAGTGATAGCTGAATGTTATTATTAATCAAGAACATTATCAGCAAACTGGAGTTCAAGAAAAATTAATATTTTCAAAGGTATTATTCTTATGTATATTTAAGTGTATAAGATAGAAAATGATATCACAGAGTTTTATTGGATCATTGAACAGAACTGTTTGCAGTATCATTGTTGGAATGTCCACTCTACAAGCTTTAATTTTGTGACTTGAACAATTATTTCTAAGATGGCAATATGTAATCCATTAACTAGTGATTTCCTACTGCGCATTTTTTTCTTCTGTACATCTGTATAACTTGTACCCCTTCACTGTTTTTTTTTTCTTTTCTCCTTAAAAAAAAAGGTATTATTCATGTAATACTAATAAAGTTAAATATAATCCTTGTAGAACTTACTGTCCTTTGGTAAAACTGTAATACTAATGCCAGGATCACTAAGTTTGATGAAAGGAGGATTTCCTGTCTTCCTGTCTTCTTCTCTGATAAGTAGAATATTTTTGGCACATACATTCCCATGAATACGGTTTTTTTCTTCCTATTAAAATTAAATGCACATACATTCAAACATTCCACAAATATTTGAGCATTTAATATGTTCAAGGCCCCAAAGTAGATTAAAGAAAACACATGAGAAAACAATGTAAATATTAATTTGGAGGCATTCTATAAGACAATAAAAGGTTTATGATAGCATTTCCTATGTTATACTTCATTTGACACAATGATATACACCCATGATGAAATGAATAAATTAAAGCTACCCAGTGTTACTCTACCTTCCAAAACAGAGATTCTAAACAGTTGGTACTTAGGACAATAGGAGGTCTTTTAAGTTCTAAGGGACACAGGCACATTTTGAATAGTATGGTAACTGGCTTGCCTTCTGGTACTCTGCTTCTGTATCCACACTTGTTTCTCCCAGAATCCTAATGCCTAATTGCCCACAAACGTAGTAAGAATGTATTTTCTATTATCCATAACAGTATGACATGTTTCTGCATAAATTCTGGTTAATTTTTATAGATTCAAGTGACACAGAAAATAGTAAAGAGACTGACAGTACTACAAAACTGTTTCTCTCAAAAGTGATTTTATATTATTATGTCTAAAATAATCCCTGTCACCACCCAACCTATTCTGAATGACTCAGCACCTATTCACAGATCTCTTGTTGGCAAGATGACTTCTAGATTGCTTCACAGAATGAAACAATACATTTTCATAAGAAAGAACATACTAATTACTTACTAGAAAATGCATAGCCCATGCCAACTGTTTAGCCACTTCAAGTTTCCACAATATATTTATAGAATTTTTATTCTTTTTCAAGTATGTATCTAATGATCCAAATTTTACAAACTCCTGAACGAGAATATCTGCATTAAAATATAGACAAGTATATATACAATTAAAATGTATAATTCAGATATTTATAAATGTTTATATTTATATGACGATACTATCAGTAAAGAAATTAAGCAAAACTCATTAAAGAGAACAATGATTATACAACATTGTATGTTTCAGTTTTTCATTTATAACAGCAAGATGTATTAACCTCAACAAATACATATATTACATGTAAGTATAACATAATATATATAATATAAAATGTATCCATAATACCTGGAAAATGTATCCATTTCTATTTCATTGAGTTCTATTTATATGCTTTGTCTTCATAAATCCAAATACTTTTGTACTGAACAGGCTAGTTGTTCCAATGTTAAGTTAAACTAATCATAATCTGTACTGCTATAATGAACACAAAAAACTATATTTGTTTACTATATGTCATTGTTTGTGTATTGTAATATAAGTTATATTAGCTGGTAATATAAGTTATAATAGCTGTCTTCTGCAGTTTAACTTCATTTATTGATTTCCTTTTTCACAAGGCATAACTAAACAGTCCTATAATGTTTTTAGGTTTAGCAACACTTAATTCCTATTGAGTTATAGTTTATACTGATACTGGTGATCTTGAAACTGAAATTTTATATAAGCAACAACAGATTCATTGAGAGAGGCATGATTTAACATAAGAAAGCCAGTGGTTTTACTTACTCTCCTCTCCACAGACACATACACCATAATTTAAAACCAAATGCTTGTGAGAAAGCTGACTCATCATGCTTGCTGCTTCAAAAAAAGACTAAGGGAAAGAAAATAACAAATGCAAAGGAATTATTGGTTGGCTGTTTTTGCTTTGTTTTGTTTTTTGAAACAGGGTCTTGCCATGTAGTTTCAGCTGATTGTGAATGCACTATGTAGCCCCAACCTGGCCTCAAATTTGCAGTGATTCTCCTGCCTCAGCCTCCTGAGTGCTGGGATTGCAAGCATGCAGCACCATGCCCGGCTGTTTCACTGTGGTCTGTAAGTATATACATCATTCAGAAAGATGCTCTCTGCCATAAAGAAGTATACTTTTTCCTACTCTTAGCAGGATTTCAGATAAGGTTACAATGTGATTTGGTCCCTTTATGTAGATTTTTACATATCAACCTTGATGTTAGGGTTCTTTTAGAAAACTCCTACATAATCTTGGAATACAGACACAGCAATGAGAGAAAGAAATGGTGGTAGTAGGTACCATAAATGATACAAGTCAAACACTTTTAGAGCTGTCACACCAAAAATAGAGAACAGGTACAACTAGGGGTAGACTCCAGACATAGTAAAATGGGACTGTAATTGATGGATATCAGCTTTACATAATGGTTCCTAAATTATTAGGAATAATTATTAATTAGTAATGACCTAAATGCAGATAAATAGCATGATACCTGTGTCAGGATACCAGCATGTTATTAACATCACTCTTAACTATCCTTTGAGAGGACTTCTAGGAATAATTATTCAGAGGATCAGGATCACCACCACTGTAGTGCTCTGCATCAGAACAGCTCTTTTGTTTACATTTCATGTCATCTTCCATTAACATCCCTTAAGACATTCGAAGTATCACAAATGTATATTCTGTCATCCTTTGATATGTCTTGCTATGCTCAGGACTCTGGCAACTGACAGCTAAGTTTCTGCCAATCCACACTCTGAATGGTGACCAGGGCATCAATATTTTACTAAGTGTTCCTTAGAACAGTCCCTTTCAAATTTTTTTTACTAGATGAATTGTTGAGGAACCTCTATGAAATCCATAAAGATCAAGAGTGCCAAGTTTAAAAGTCAGAAGTACAGTATTATCGCAAAGATAAAATAATACTAACACAAAGTAAAAGAAGTAAGATTGGAAATAAACTGTAAATCCTGTAATTTTTCACTGCCTCATTAAAAAGCATCCTCAAAAAGGTCCTTCATATACTTTTAAAAATTATAATTTTGGCCAAGTGTGGTGGCACACATACATAATCCCAACATTTAGGAGGCTGAGACAGGAGGACTACTGCCAGTTTAAGGCCAGCCTGAACTGCAGAACAAAACCCTGTCTCAAAAAGACAAAAAAAATTAAATAATAAAAAATAAAATTGTAATTGTGCATAGCTGCATGCATAAATGTTACATGCATATGAATGCACATAAGTATAAATTACATGGACTACTCAAAGAACATACACACCTCTGAATAGTTTCTATGTGCTTTATCCAGAACTTTCAAAAGAACTTCTGTTTCATGCAGCTGACCATAGTCTCCTACTTCTCTCCTTATTCCTTTAAAAATTTTTGTGAAAGTCCCTTGGCCAAGGCTTTCATTCTTCAAAAGAAAAAAGGGTAAATGAGAAGAGAATTGAGCAAGAAAGATAAGGAATTAGAAAATATCCCGACAAAACATTTTTTAAAAAGTCATGAGTAGGTAGTTGCCTTACAAACTAACCCTAGATATGAGATTCTCAAATCTTCTACTTTAAACAGTAATTAAAGATTAATGAATAAAGTGTATCTTTGGGTCTACCTGTTTTAAACCTACTGCATTGGCTATAATTATGATTTTTTAAAAGTCATTATCTACATTTATTCACAAATGAGTCTCTTGCTTTGCCTTTTCTACCAGTATAATAGAAAGGAAAAACGGTAGTCTGTTCCTTTTCACTTACTATGTGTTTGACTTTATAAAGGCTATTTAATGTATCTGTGCTGTACTTAGTTTAGTTGCTTTATCTGAAGAATGAGGAAAATAACTATTTTTCCCCATAGAACTGTTTTAACCAATGAATATAAAAACACTATAGTATATAGTTCAAGACATATATTAAGAGCACAATAAGCGATAGCTACTACTGATAGCACCAGTATTAGTGTTTCTTGTGTATCCTTACAGAACAACTTTGAAAGCCTGCACCCTGAAATAGGGCTATGTTCAAACCCAACCTCTACTACTTATTACTTTTGTAACATTCCCATTACTCAAGTCCACAGTTCTGGATAATTCTACTTTCCCTTTATGAAATTCCAATACCAGTCTTTCACATTCTTCCCTCTATATATTTTCTCTTTTATAACTTTCATTTTTTCTCCATATCTGCTATGTTTCTTCAGATCTGTATTTCAAATCACTAAGTCTTTGTTCAGTTATAAGTAATCTGCCTTCTAATCTTTTCATTGTGTTTAAATGTCAGCATACTTATTTTTCTATTCTTTTCTACTTCAAATTTTAATAGTGTCTCATTTTTAACTCAAATTTTTTAGGTTGTTTGTTTTATTCTGTTGTTTTGAGACAGAGTTTCCCTATGAATTTTAGGCTGGCCTGAACTCACTATATACCCCAAACTGAACTTGTTAGCAGTCCTCTTGCCTCAGCCTCCCAATTTCTGGGATTACAGGTATGTGCCAGCTGTCAAATTTCTTTTAAAATAATATCTTTTCTTTTGAAATGTTTCTTTTCCCAATGTTTTCAACTCCTCTTATTTCTTTAAATATACATGTGTTATTTTATAGTCCCTGAATATTGTATGAAATTCTTAAAAGTATAATTTTGTTGTTTGATCTGCTGATTCTTGCTTAACACTAGGTTATTTCCCTCTGTGTTTCTAAATTCAGATTAAAAACTCATGTTTGGAGTGGTTTTACCCATGGGAATTCTGGATAGTCTAAATTAAAATGTATGTTCTTCCAAAAAGATTCTGTATTTGTTTCTCCCATCATATCAGAGGAGTATCACTTTTAATATGTTGGCTTCCTATTTCTCAGCTCATACAGGTAGTATAAAGAAACCCAAGATCAAAATATTTTCATTATAAATTCCTGGAAGAGGCTCTTTTTCCACCTGAGACTCTTTTTACCAATTTAAGGTTCCAGCTTAAGGGGGCTGGGGATTTAGCTCAGTGGTTCAAGTGCTTGCCTGGTAAATGTGAGGCTGTGAGTTCAAAAAAAAAAAAAGATTCCAACTTAAATACAGAACATTCTTTTCTTCTTTCTTTTCTTCATTCCTACTTTTCTTTCCTTTTTCAAGTGGGATAAATTTTTCGCATTTCGTATGTTGTTTAACTGAAGATGTAGATTATGGTCTACTGAAGATGTAGATTATGGTCCAATGAAGATTATGGTTTATATCTAAATATTCCCCAAAAGTCCCCTGTGTTCAGAGGCTGGGATTCTGGAAGGAGACTGGATCATGAGACACTATACTTATCAGTGGATTAGTTTATTGATGAGTTTATAGCTTAATGCACTTTTGGGATGCTGGGCCCAGTTAGGGCAGGCAGATCACTAGGCATATGTCTTTGGAGGCTACCTATCTCTGCTTCTTGTCTGCCACAGTGCAGCTTTCCACCACGAGACTTTTCTGCTGTCCCATTTCTTCTGCCTTAGAGCCAGCCTACCGTAGACTGAACATTTTGATAACGTAGTATGTATATTCATGAGGGTTCTGGCTTTATTTAGTGATGTCTCACTTTTAATTCTTAGCCATTCACAGGCTCATGACCTGGACCTCTTCCTTGTACTACTTTTAATTTTAAACCTTATGATATATGTGACTAATCTCCATTCAAAACCACCTGATAGGTCAATCATCAGCTTGTATACTATTTTGTTTTCAGCTTCTTATTTATTTTCAATTGGTTAATTTTTTTTAACTTTCATAAGAACCTAAGAGTTACAATGTGGGTTACAAGCTGCTTTTCTGATAATTTTTCATCTATGATTTATAAAGACATTTTTTAAATTCTGAAAAGAATATAATTCCATCCCTAAAATAATTTTGCTAATTTCTTACAAAAGTTAGTGTGTTTTTCACAAGAAATAAAAATATTTAGAAAGTAACTAAATTTTTATACTACAGGTTATAACAAAATACTTCCACATATTACAAGATAAAATGTAGGATAGGAAATCAAGAAAATAGATGTCTTTATAAAAGGACAAAAAAGACAGTAATTTGTATCTATACTTACAAATATCAAATCTTCGTTTCTGATTTTGTGAAATACCATTTGGTTCACATTATTATGCCTCTGTAATGTTGGTGAAGTTGATACATCAGAAACACCATTGGTTCTAAAGACTAGAAGGTTTGATTTATCTGGAAAAAACATAGTAGAATACATGTATCTGTGTATATATGTGTGTGGGCATCTCTTCAAAGCACACCAAAAATATGAATTGCTACAAAGAAGAATAAAATGTGTTCTACATGCAAGAAATGCATAATAACTTATTATTCATCTTTTCCCCAGAAAATAATTTTTTGGAGTTTACTAATTGAACTTTAATGTACTCCTACTAATTATTTCATACATTCAAAATTATACCTATTTCTTTAGTGTAATTTTACCACATTTAAAAACTTTTAACAATGAAACTTATTCAAGGGGTTTCCAATCTTACTATCTTCATTTTTAAAATAAAGAAATTAAAATCCTAAAACAAAATTTTTTTCTTAAAACATGTAGGAATTTGGTAGTGAGATCTTCTAGTTCAGTAAGCTAGTGACTAATTTATAGCAAACAATTATCTGTAAAATGTCATTTTAAACTAGAATAATAGAAATTCAAGTTGCTTACAAATGATTCACACCAAACTATACAATCTTATCTGATGATGCTGTACAACAGAATAAGAAAAAATTAATTTGCTTTTGGAGCTGTTTTTTTTATATTTCTTTTCAAATCAATGTACTGAAGATATCTCCCACCACAGACACAATCATGACAATATTTTGAAATAACTATAAAATTATGTTACCTTTTGGTTTTGGGGGACAGCATTTAGTAAACTGGAAAATTATACTGTCTGAGCGAACAGTTTCCATTTGGTAGCAATTCAAAAGATCTTTAAGATTACTGAAGTTCTTCTTGGTCCCACTGAGGTTGTATTCTCTATTCTCATTTTTTGTAATCAAGCAATGTTTATATTCAATGACATTTTCTCGCTATACAAGTTAAATTATAAAGAGGAGGGAAAACCACAATAGTTATAATGATTATTCTGCCTAAAGGAATAACACAAAAACAATGAACAAAATATTCAGACATTAGAACTATGAATCCTAATGTGGGCTGTTATGATAATAGAGGATCTTGGTCCTTCAAAACGGAACCTAATTACAGTTTTATAGTCTACAAAAGTGGTTCAAGAGTTAATTTTATTTAAAAAGCAAGAAAGCAAGAATTAATAGTAATAGCCTGCATAGCTTTCCATAGTTTAAAAGATAAAGTCAACACCTAGCAAAGCAAATAGGGCATTCATGAAATGTTTCTCCTGCCATCTCTAACTTAACTCTAGCTGGTTCTTAAATAAAAACTCCTTTCTAGCCAAATAATTTCAACTAAATGCCACACTATTTCATGCCTTAGTAACTACATGCTATCTCTCTACTAAGAATGGACACCCTCTCCTGAGTAGTGAACTTTCATTTTATTCCATAAAACTCACTTCAAATATTGCTTTTCCTGTGAGGTCTCTCTAACAATACTCCATTTCCTAAGTGAAGGTGAACAGCTATTACATTGCACCTCTACTATATTTATATTACTCTAATGTGACATTTTAAATATTTTGCATTTTAAAAATAATTCTAGTGGATTGTATTGTGAACTTTTCCTTAATCTTAGTATTTTTGAGTTGCTTTTTATAAAGACCTTTGTCTTATTTAGAACTGTCTACAAACATCTACAAATCTCTCAAAATCAACTTCAATTCTTTTCTATTCCAAAAGCCCTCTGCTAGTAACTATACCTTTTCCTGTTATTGTCTCTATCTAATGCTCACATTAGTATTTTTTGGTAAACATTTTTGTTTTTCTACAGTAACTTACTTGAAGACAGGAGTATATCATACATTTTCTAACATATAACGATATATATTTTGAATTGATAATTCAATACAATAGACTATTGTGTTATTCTAAGGTATTCTAAAATTAGGACAGACTACCAGTTTTAGGCAACGGTTAAAGAGAAGGATTATCTGTATTTATAGATAATCCACGTGCTAAACGTAAGATTATTGCTTTTAAAACAATCAAATAATAGAGTAAAATCAATTTTCATACTGATATAAAGTTTCTCAGTTATACCAGAAAACTGCCACGTAAAGAATAATAGCTTTTAAAGTAATTTGGGATAGTAAATAATCTTAGATGAAATTGAAGATGATCTATAATAACAATGAAGTTTATTGCAATTTTTACTTTAAATATATGTTATAGATCATTATTCTTAATTCTGGAAAATTACTAGCAGAAAGCATTAGGGTATTTTTATTCCTTTGTTATGGCCGTATTTTGATCTAGTTAATAACTACTGACTAATAGAGATTTGCTTCTGATTTATTTTGCTCTATATGATTTGCTAAAGATTTCCATTTTTGTGAAAAAAGACACTTCCAAAGACTTGATGGAGTATCATTTGACACATTATAATACCCAAAGATAGACAGATAGATATATGTAGATGGATAAAATGAACACTAAATAAAAAAACAGATAGACAATATATATGTCATGTCAAAAATAATCCATGGGTGGACTTCCGGGAGAACATGGCATATAGATAACAGCAGCTATGGAGGTTCTCTGAGATAGCCAGGTTAGATTCCAGGAATGGTGCAGTGTGGGGAGTCCTAAGCAGAGGGAGATATACCCTGCTGACCCAAGAACAAACTGAGCAGAGAAAAAACCAACTGGAAATGCAATCCCGGTGTTACAACTGGAACAGTTAAAGTATCAGTGCCAAAGCTGGAACCCTCGCCTCTAGAAACCACAGCTTGAATTTCCTGCTGCCACTGCTGTATATGAATTGGCACAGCAGGGATAGAGACGCGAAAGCTCTGAGAGCAGGAATCAGCAAACCAAATTGAGAGCAGAGCAGGTGGGGAGCCCTGCACTGACCTGCAGTGAGTGAGAGGAACGGGGACCATTCCATAGAGTAGGAGACTCCAACAGAGGACATTCTGGAACTGGGCAGACTGGCCCGAACAGGACACTGCAGTGACTTCAGTCACATGTTCCCCTCTCAAGTGGGATTGGTGGGGAGCACTTGACCTGGGTGACGCCACGGACTAAGACCCAGTAGGCTAGCCCAATCAGGTCCCTGCGCCTGGCAGTGCATTCTAATGCAGTGAAGCCTTTAGCAGGATGACTGATCTGGAGGGGCAGGCCCAGCATAGGCTGCCCAAGTCTGTGTCTCCCTAGTACACTGCAGTGGGTGGGAACACCTAGCAGGTGTGTTTCAAACAAATGGTAACTGACAAAGAAAGAAACTGGGCCTCCTATAATACGTTGTATGGAAGGAACAAAAAGTATGGGAAGAGGGAGCAAGAAGAAAGGGTCCTTAGTCCCCAATCCTGAGAACACTGATCCAGGAAAGGTAAATGCAAAGGAGAATGAGGACAGAAAACATGCAATACCAGACACAGCACCAATAGACATAAAGCGGTATCTTCAAGACCTCATAGACGAGTTCAAAAGTGAAGTATTTAACCAAGTAAAGCAAGATATAAGTAGAATAGTTAAAGAAATGCTAAGCACCTCCCAAGAAAAAACAGATGGTAGAATGGAAGAACAGAAAAAAAAGGGAGAATTGTTTGATTGAGAAAATAGAGAAAATGTAGAATACATGAAGCAGGTTCAAAGAGATTACCAGGAAACTAAAAACTCTATCAAAAGCTGGCATAACAGCTTGAAAGAAACTAAGGACAGATTATCTGAGCTGGAGGACAGATTTGTAATGGGGAGCATGAAAGGAAAAACTTAAAAATAACAAGGAAATCAGCGGTAACAATACAAAGGCTAGAAGATGATAAGACGATCTATAACTTAAGAATTAAGAATGTTAAGGAAGAAGCAGGGATACAAACAAATGAACTGCAAAGGCTATTCACCGAAATAATCAAGGAGAACTTCCCTAACATGGGAAAAGGTAAAGATACACAGATCTATGAGGCATAAAGGACCAGAGCCACCTACAAACCAAACAAAACTACACCCAGGCATATAATAATGAAAATTCCAGAAATCCAATGTAAGAACAGAATGTTAAAAGCTGTCAGAGACAAGAAACAGATCATTTACAAGGGAACACCCATCAGAATTACAGCAGACTTCTCAGCACAAAGCATCAAATCATGAAGAGTGTGGGGCGAAATAATTCAAGCTTTGAAAGACAATAACCTCCAGCCAAGATTGATATATCCTGCACAAATGTCCCTAGAAATTAATGGAGAAACAAGGTACTTCCAGGATAAAGAGGAACTAGGGGAATTTGCAACCACCAATTCAACTCTACAGAGAATACTACAGGACATTCTAAAGAGAAAAATACCAAGATTCCAGAATCAGTGGCAGAGACGCCACAATGAATGGAGTAGAAAGCGAAATGAAGAGGACAAACTGACAACTAATGACAGAAAAAGAGCCCCACAGAAATGAGGCAGAGGAGGTTGGATGGTATGAATAGCTATATTGGAGAAAACAAGACATCATAATCACCAGTGCTGATTTACTATCATCTTGTTTTGAAGTCCCATCAAGCTTTTATTCTTCTGTCTCAATCGGTCTTAACATGTTGTATCTTATTGGATTTTATTATATGTGATAATATAAATAAAAACTCTTATAGACAAGGAGATAATACAGAAACCATTGTTCATTTTCTGTTAGTTGGTTTTAAATACCCTGTAATACTGTCATTCTCTTGAATGGTTTTACATTGTCTTGATATGTGTGATGCTACTGTATACAAAGTTATACTCAAAGATTTCAAGGAGAGAGACACTATGGTAACTACTTTTATTTCAGAATATCTTGTGGTGAAACACTATTTTGCTTAAATGGTTATGTTCTGACCTGTGCTGTTTTGTTGTTATGTCTTCTTTTATCTCAATCTCCTTTTTTATTATTTATTTTTTTATCTTTTTAATTAATGGAAAAAATAAAAAATAGCAGGATAAAAAAAATACTCCATGAGTCCTAGGGATTATGTTTATTTGTATCTAATCCTTGGGATAAATTAAACCTGATTATTATGCAAGATATTATATCAAGAATTATAATTCTGAGTATTATGAAATAATGTATGATACATAAACATGAATACAAGACACATAGTCTAAATAATATGTTACTATTAATAAATGTACCATACTAACCTCAACAGCAAAAGTCAGAAAATATTTATTAAAGTCCTTAGGGCTGCACCGAAGTACATAAAGTCCAGTCTGATTACCCGCTTTCTTCAATTTACTGATGGCAAAATCCATTCTAAAGGTAAAATAGAAATACTTTCAATGATAACATAAAATGATAAAATACTTTTAATGATAACATAGTTTTGTGTTATGACATTAGGGCCAGATATCACAAAAACAATCAAAAGTCAAATCTAAAATTCTCAAATTTTAGAAGACATCTGTTTCATTTTCTCCAATTAATTTCAAGAGAAAAATAAAACTATAAAGTTACTTTGCAGTAAATCCAAACTAAGGGCAATTATATTATTTTAAAAACATGAAAGTTATGAGATAAAATCACAAAGATATTATAAATCACAAAGATAAATTCATTCCGCTGAATTTTCTGCTTTCTAATCACAAGTCTAGTATTTTAAAAATCATACTGATATTCATAAAACAACACTTCTTATGTCTCTTCCAACATAGTTACTAATACAAAAATTATGAGTGCTATTTTAAAATTAGTATAGGACCAAGTTGTAATGTAAGACCTATGGTAATTGAAGAATATTACTAGGTTTAAAACATGATACAGTTTTGAAACTACACATCTTTTTCTGTGTAGTTTTGTTTCCCATTTTTGAGAATTGTCTCACTATATATATAGTTCACCTTTGGTTTGCCTGAGATTCATAGTCCTCCTGCCTTAGCCTCCTGAGTGCTGTGATTACAGTATGCAACACCACCCTTGGTTTAAAACTGCACATCTTAAAAGAAATGCAAATATAAAAGTAGGAATCATTTGCTTATCATGTTTCTCATATATAAACCAGTATTTAGTAAATACTCATAAGCATTCTATAGATAAATGAATACTTGAATAAATAGGTGAGTAGATGAATGAAGGCAAGGACCATGAAAAGTAATTAAAATATTTATGCCTATATATAATATTCAAACACTGCAATGTTTCACAACAACTATACTTATAACTGTATGAACATGAATTATTTTTTCATTTCTATTAATACTTTGTATAACTGGGTGCTCTGGAATTTGGTGCATATATATTTAAGATTGTTATCTCTTCCTCTTGAAGTTTTTCCCTAACCAGTATGTAGTGGCCTTCTTTATCTCTTAGGATCATTCTTGGTTTGAAGTTCACATTGTCTGCAAACAGAATACCTACCCCCGCTTTTTTTTTCAGTTCCTGTGGCATGAAGTATTGTTTTCCATCCTTTGACTTTCAGTCTGAGTTTCCTTTTGGGTTAGATGGGTTTCTTGTAGACAGCATATCGTTGGATGTTGTTTCTTGATCCATTCTGCCAGTCTGTTTCTTTGAATTGGTGAATTGAGACCATTTACATTAATGGTTATAGCTGTTATATACTGGCTTATTGTTGACATGTTATCTTTCTGCTGCTGCATCTTTATCTTTTCATTCTGTTTAATTGTCTACCTTGCTTAGTATTTTTTTCCTATGTGTATCTTAGTCTTTCAGTATTCTTTGCAGGGTTGGCTTGGTGATCATGAAGTTCTTCAGCTGTTCTTTGTCATGGAAGTATCTTATTTCTCCATCAGTTCTGAAGGACAGTTTTGCAGGGTACATCAGTCCTCTTCTTGACTTCATTGTTTGTCTGCTGTGATTCTGATAGGTTTTCCTTTAGAGGTGATCTGTCTTTTCTAACAACTTTCAATGTTCTGTTCTTTTGTTGGATTTCTGGGATAGTGATTATTAAATGTCTGGGTGTAGTTTTATTTTGGTTATGGCTATTTGGGGTTATATATTCTTCACTAATCCGTATGTCAGTTTCCATTGTCGTGTTTGGGAAATTTTCAGCTATTACTTCTGTAAATAGCCTCTTGATATCATTTGTGCTATCTCCTTATTTTTCATTTATCCCTATCAATCTTATGTTGTTTTCCTTTGCATCATTTTGCAGATGTTGAATTGTTATTTCCTGATACCTTGTTATTTTTAAAAGATCTTTCCTTTCTTTTTCACTAGCTGCAATCTTGTCTTCAAGGTCTGAAATTCTATCTTCACTTTCATTGAGGCAGTTTTGACAACTTTCAATGGAATTTTTGATTCCCTGTATATCTCTTTGAATCTGCTTCAAGTATTCTGTTTGTTTCTTATATTGTTCATCCAGGGATTCTATCTTTTTGCTTTGTTCCTCTAATTTTTTAGCTATGCCTTCTTTAGATGTGTTCAACATCTCTTTCATTACTTTTATCATTTCTTTTTTTACCTGGGAGATTATTTCTAGTTTGAATTCCTTTAAAGCTTCCTGTTGCTTCTTTATTTCAGTTGCTATTATTTCATGTATTTCAGGTGTATGGCATACATTTTTCTTCTATGTACATGGCTCTTAGGTTTTCTTGGGATGGGCTGGAGTTCTGAGATTGCATTTTGGTCCTTTCATTTGTCATTTTCCTATATTTCCGTGTTTCAAGTGTTGTTCCAAGGCTTTGCCTGAGCGTGTTGGAAATTGTCTTCTGTGCCCTCGGTTCCTGGGACTGAATGGAGGTTGCTGAGCATGGTCCAGTCACAGGACCTCCCGTGCCACCTCCAGTGTTCCAGGAAGCTGAGTGGGCACCTAGCCAATGTGGATGATGGTCTAAAGCTCTCTCCGGGCAAGGACCAATGTGCTGGAACTCACTTCACATGCTCTCAACACCCCTGATTGAAGAAGGTCACTGACTGTAATCTAGTCGGGCTGCAAAACTTTGCAAGCTTAGTCTAGTGTGGTTGGAAGCTGGGCAGGTCCTTGACCACTAGGAGTAATGATCTTAAACTCTCCTGGGGCTCGGGATGGTGTGCAGGAACTCACCTCCTCCAGCAGCCCAGTTCCCTGGACTGAAAGAAGGCCACTGGGCATGGCCCAGACAGGCCCCAAACCTGCAAAGCCCAGCTTAGTGTGGCTGGAAGCTGGGCGGGACCTTGACCACTGGGAGCAATGATCTTAAGCTCTCCAGGGACTTGGGATGGTGTGCAAGAACTCTGAACATGAATTATTAACTGAGGCAAATCTTAAATATTACATTTAACATACAATTACATTAACATACATAAACTTTCTCAAATATTTTGAAGTAGGTTAAATTTGCATTTAACCATTTAAGCAGAATAGTGATTCACCACCAGATAATCCTAACCTAAAAGTAGTTACCATATTGTCTCTTTCTTTGAAATCCTTGAGTACAACTTCGTATACTGTAGCATTAAGTATATCAAAACAATGTAAAACCATTCAAGAGAATGACAGCATTACAGAGTATTTAGAATCGACTAACAGAAAATGAATAATGGTTTCTGTATAATCTCCTTGTCTTTACAAGGTTTTTGCTTATACTATCGTACATAATAAAATCCAGTAAGATACAATCTATTTAGACCATTGGAGACAGAAGGACAAAAGCTAGATGAGACTTCAAAACAAGATGATACTAAATCAGTATTACCTATTAAGATGTCATTTTCTCCAAAATAGCTGTTCCTATCATCCAATCTTCTCTGCCTCGTTTCTGTTGAGCTCTTTTTCTGTCAGTAGCTGTCAGTTTGTCTTCTTCATTTTGTTCTCTGCTCCATTCATTGTGGCCTCTCTGCCATTATTTCTGGATTCTTTGTATTTTTCTTTTTTTAGAATATCATGCAATACTCTCTGTAGAGTTGAATTGGTGGTTGCAAATTCCCCCAGTTCCTCTTTATCCTGGAAGCACCTTGTTTTTCCATCAATTTCCAGGGACAGTTGTGCAGGATATCTCAATCTTGGCTGGAGATTATTATCTTTCAAAGCTTGAATTATTTCCCCCCACGCTCTTCGTGATTTGATGGTTTGTGCCGAGAAATCTGCTGTAATTCTGATGGGTGTTCCCTTGTAAGTGGTCTGTTTCTTGTCTCTTACAGCTTTTAATATTCTGTTCTTGTATTGAATTTCTGGAATTTTTATTATTATATGCCTGGGTGTTGCTCTGTTTGGGTTGTAGGTAGCTGGGGTCCTGTATGCCTCATACATCTGAGTATCTTTACCTTTTGCTAAATTAGGAAAATTCTCCTGGATTATTTCTGTGAGTAGCTTTTGTAGTTCACTTGTTTGTGTCCCTACTTCTTCTTTTATGTTCTTAATCCTTAAGTTATGGATCCTCTTATCATCTTCTTGTCTTTGTATTATTGCTGTTTCTTTCTTTGTTATTTTTAAGAAGTTTTTCATTTCATTCTCCCATATTAGAAGTCTGCCCTCCAGTTCAGATAGTCTGTCCTTAGTTTCTTTCAAGCTGTTATGCCAGTCTTCTATAGACTTCTTAGTATCTTGGTAGTCCCTTTGAACCTGTTTCACGTATTCTATGCTTTCTCTGTTTTCTCCATCAAACAATTCTCCCCTTTTTTTTTTTTTTTTGATCTGCGCTGTTTCGTTGTTATGCCCTCTTTTATCTCAATCTCCACTCCATTATTTACTTTTTTATCTTTATCCTTTTAATTAAAGGAAAAAAATAGCAGGATATATTATAGTAACCCACTTTGACTTTTCATTACCTTGATTTAAAGCCCTGTATTACTCTCACCATCTGGTTTTTAACTGATGTTCCCCTATTCTGTTTTGCTGGATAGTATCAGGTTCGAAAGTTTAGGCATCAGCTGTGAAGATAATGAGATTCATTATGACGCCCATTTCTGTTGACTTTTATCTACTTTTGAAGACCTACAATGTCTCCATTGTTTTGGTTTTGTCAGTTTTGTTCTTTACTGTTTTGTTCAATTGCATTACAACTAATGATATAGGCAATTCTATTAGAGATAGCGGGAGGCATTATGGTAACCATTGTTGATCACCTTGTATTATGTTTTTACATTATCTATTATGTCCACCCTTTTGACTTGACCGATTCTGTTCTGTTATGTCACATTTGGTTTTACTCTCTTCCAAAAAAGTAATAAGAACCGTGGGAGCAATGAAACCCAAAATGTGTAATAGTCATGGTACAAAAGAGAGGAAAAGAAAGTGCTCCAAACTATATAACTGCATGTATATTTAAGTGTATAAGATAGAAAATGATATCACAGAGTTTTATTGGATCAATGAACAGAACTGTTTGCAGTATCATTGATGGAATGTCCACTTTACAAGCTTTAATTTTGTGACTTGAACAATTATTTCTAAGATGACAATATGTAATCCATTAACTAGTGATTTCCTACTGTTCATTTTTTTTGTGTAAATCTGTATAACTTGTACCCTTTCCCTGCTTTTTTTTTTCTTTTCTCCTTAAATAAAATTTAAAAAAAATGAAAAAAAATTTGCATTTAACATAATTACATTAACATACATAAACTTTCTCTCAAATATTTTGAGGTAGGTTAAATTTACAATCTTAGAGTTTTATTCTGTGTAAGTTCTTTAAATTTGGTATCAATCACAAAACAAAACTAGCTGAGTGATAACTAGAACTTAGGTTAAGCAAATGTTCTATCTGGCTAGAAAAAGGAATATCATAAATCCACGTTGGGTATGAAGCTTTAGTAAAAGTTGTTAGATTATTAAAAAATGACGAATTTCAAATTTAATTCTATGATTCTTTTCCAATATTTCAAAATTAATGAAATATACATTATAGAGTGTTTGTTTTGTGTTGCTAAGACTCAAACCTTTGGTCTCATGCATGCTATAAAGGCATCCTACCACTGAACAACAACCACAGTTTTTTTGTTTGTGCTGTTTTGAACTACCCAAGAGTTATTAACACCTAAGGGTTATTAAGCATGCATAAGCAACCAAATATTAAACTTGTACAAGCTGTAAGTATTATAGATGGTAAATTATGTCTTAAAGACACAGATGGTAAATTATGTCTTAATTCTACTTATGAGCAAGCAGACTTGTTTTTTAAAAAACTTGAAACTATGGTAATGTATTTTTCAAAATTCTTAAGTTTATATCTATTGTATAAAATCTATAGTTGTCTCTTTGCATTCATGGAGGCTTGTTTCCAGAATCAAAATCTATGGATACTCAAATCCTTTATACAAAATGGCTAATTTTCATAAAACCCATACACATCCTCCTATCTACAATGGATCATCTCTAGATTACCATAACATCTAAAACAATGTAAATGTTATATAAACAGTTGTTAGTTGCTACTGTTTAGAAAAAAAAAACTTTCAACGTACGATTTCATCTGTGCCTGCCTGTGGAACACACAGGCATAGATAGTTGACTGTAGACTGTTTTCTTATATAAGAAAACTGCAGTACTCACGAAATAGGGCCATGACAGTTGCTCTGTATGTTCTCAAGCACTGTAGGGGGTGCCACCTCTTTACAGAGGTAATGATGAGCATCTGCAGTCAGTCTATAATATCCGTCAATCAATGACACAAAAGACAAAGCTTCCCTTAATGAACTCAGTTCAATTTCCTAAGCAGAGAGAAGAAAAAGAAATTATATCATTTAAAAAATCAACTGAGTATTAAAGATTGAAAATTTTCTATACCCTTTCCCCCTGCCTAGTTCTCCTTTCCATTTGGACATTTTCTTCCTATTTCACAATATCTATGATTCATTTTAGTTCTTATTTACACTTAAGGTTTCTCACACCACAGAAACAATGTGGTATTCACATGTGTGTCAAATTATTATCGCTAAGAGAATGGCCTCAAGGTGCATCCACTTAGCTAAAAATAGCTCAAGCCTATTTTTCTTTATGGCACAGCAGAACCCATTTTATTTTTTAAAAAAAACTTCCTGTTATTAAGTTCTTCTAAATTGTTCAACAATTTTTTATCATTCTCAATTATGCAATTTGAATTAAGAATTCTTATGTCTGATATTTAAGATCCTACTGGACATGGGCTTATCCTGCCTTCTCAATTATAATTTGTGCTCAGCCATAATTTTATTGAATGTTTCAATTCCCCTAGCAAACTAACATGCTAGTTACCCAAACCAGAAATCTATTTAATCTGACAAAAATTAGATATTATGAGCATTTATTTTTATGTACCAACTGTACACTGCAGAAGATAAAGTACTCATAAACTAAAATGTCATGACAAACAGCTATGTTGTGGTTTTATCATCACACATATATATGTGAACATATATCAAACTAAAATACACCATTTTACCTAATAGGAAAATATGCGTGTACGCACGTGTGCACACACACACACACACACACACACACATACACATATATGTATGTATTTATACTGACATGTTAAATAAGTCATTTTGATTATATAATGGAAAATAGAATCCCATTTATAAGAACAAGAATAATATAGTGTCTAAGATTAAAATTAACAAAAAATGCACAAAATGATTATCAGAAAATCTTGAAAACATTTGTTAAGTGCAACTTTTTATTTGTATACAAGATTGATCACATTCTTCATTGGAAAAGCTAACTCACTTATAAAAATTCTCCCAAAATTAGTTTTTTAATGTATCACCATCCTAGTAAGAATATCAATACGTACTAGAAGCTATGCCTAGTAAAACAAGATAAATTTGGTTTCAGAAAACCAAGCATCTAAAATAAAAGAAATAAACAGATAATTCCCAGGATGATAAGAAAAGGATGACCAAGGATTACAGCTGTGTACAACCTCATCTTCCAGAAAACTTCCACAGCAGATTAGAGAGTAAAACGCAATGATCAAGAAGGAATTTCTTGAGGATAAAGGAGAAATGATTGAACATTTGAAAATTTGACTTCATGAAATATTGTATTGAAAAGTGAACTACTTTACAAAGTTCTTGTAGAGAACACTAAGAAAGCCATGGACATAAAGGAAAAAATGATGCAATAACTCAGAAAAATAAGTTACAAAAAATTGAAATGTCATCAGGCATGCTTCTTGGTTCAGTAACAAACAACATTTAATCTCAGTGAGAAAAAGGAATGGAACTTTTATCAAAAAATAGAATAAGGAGAGAACTGTGTGATATTTGAACTGTAAAAGGAACTTTGCTAATAAAATTAGACCATAAGAACAATTATTAGGAAAGACCCATAAGCAAAGTTAAAAAACTTGAGGAAATCAGAGTCACATGTGTAACACCGTATTGTCTCATTGGTGTAAGAAACTAGAAGGAAATAAGATCCAAAAATTTATAATGCATACAATGAAAGGGAAAGAAACAGCACAATTTGTAGTAGCCAGATATTGGAAACAAACTTGGTAGTTCCAAAAGTTAGGCAGAAAAAAGTAGTCTGCTGTGAATGAATATAGTTTCACTGCTGTATGATGAAAAACTGGAAATCAGACACACAACAACATAAATATACTTGAAACTACTGAACTATATACCTAAAAATGGTTGTGATGTTGAATGTTATTTTGTATAGATTTTACCAAAATTTTTTAAAAAGATACTCAGGAGGCTGAGGCAGGAGGATCACTGTGAGTTCAAGACCAGGCAGGGCTACAAAGTGAGTTCAAGGCCAGCCTGAACTTCATAATGAGACACTGTCTCAAAAAGACAAAAAAAAAAGTGTAAAGTATAAAATGACAGTTTAAAACATATATCTAAACATGTATCTAGCATACAATGCCCTAGGATAATGTAATAACAAGCAAAAATTAATAATGATCTGTTAGAAAAACATACTGAGAAAAATTATTACTCAAAATAAATTTTTTAAAATGTGATTAAAATATCAGCAAGAAACATAAAAATGACCAAAAACATAATATATGGATACAAAAAAATATAATTATGCTAATATAGAATATTATGTGGAAAACAAATTTCAATTCTTCCCAAATTGTTTTTAAAATTTTTAAAGAGAATAAAACAAAACAAAGCAAAAAAAAAAAAAAAACAGAACAAAGCAGAGCAGAATAAAACAAGACAAATAACACACGATTTCAGAAAAAAGCAGGAAATCAACAGTGACTACCATAATGTTTCTTGTTTTCTTTGAAATAGTTGTCTATACCTTTACACACAATAAGTTAATACAAATCAAAATAGTATACAAACAATCAAAAACACAACAATGAAAGTCTTAAGGGCTTTCAAGACCAGACACTAGGAAATCAATAATGGCTGCCATAATGTCTAATTTTTTCAAAACAGCTGTCCAGCTCTTCATACATATTGAAATCAAATAACTGAAAACAGACTAAAACCAACCAAAAACAAGAATAAAAGCATTATTGGCTTTTGAATCAAAATAATAGGAAATCATCAATGGCTACCATGGTGTCTTGCTTTCTTCAGTGTAGTTGTTTATACTATCACACATAATAACATCAATTCTTGTAAATCCTTTAGGTGAAGTTCTAGGCATATATAAGCCTATACATGTACATCAATCCTTTCTGTATTACAGGGAAAAACAAAACAACAGATAAATAACATAACTAAGAGCCCCAAATAAAAACAATGTAGGGTTTCAAAACAAGGTGGTAGGAACATAACAATTTTTGTTCTTTTGCATAATTATCTTCAAAACTCTTATTCGAATTACCAGATATAGTCATGCAAAATTGATCTAATCCTACAGATGTTATCTGTTTTGTCCCAAGAACAGAATTAGGAGTACAATCATCTTAGCTATCTTAAGTGCATATATAGAAATTTATATCTTACTTCATTTCTCTTCCTTTTTTCCTTTTCCTCCTGAGTTATTTTTTCCTCTTTGAGCAATTTCTTACCATTTCACAATATTTATTGAAGATATCTTTCTTACTCTTGCAGGTTCTTACATTAGGGAGACAATATAGTACTTACACGTGAGTTTGATTTATTTCACTCAGGAATATGCTCTCAAATGGCATCCATTTACTTACAAAGGCTTCAATGTGGCCTTTTTGATAGCTTAGTATTCCATTGTATAAAAATACAACTTTATTATCCATTCCTCAGTTGATGGGCATTTAGGTTGTTTCCCAGATCTGGCTATTACAAATTGTGCTGCTATAAACATGGGTGCACATATATCACTGTGGTATGATGTTTTCAGCTCTTCTGGTAATATGCAGAAGTAGAATAGTTGGGTCAAATGGCACTTCCAATCCCAGCTTTTTGAGGAATCTCGAGACGGACCTCCATAGTGGTTGCACCAGTCTATACTCCCACCAACAGTGCAGGAGAGTTCCTTTTTCCCCACACTCTCTCCAGCATTTGTTGTTTGTGGTTTTCTTGATCCTGGCCATTCTTTCTGGAGTGAGATGGAATCTCATTGTTGTTTTAATTTTCATTTCTTGAACGAATGTTGTTGAACATTTTCTCATATATTTATTTGTCATTTGTGTTTCAACATTTGAGAAGTGTATTCATCTCAGTTGCCCAATTTTAGATTGGGTCTTTGAATTTCGGGGATCTTATTTTTTAATTCTTTACATATTCTAGATAGAAGTCCTTTGTGTGAGGAACAGTTGACTAAGATTTTTTTTCCAATTTGTGAGTTACCTTTTCACTCTGCTGGAGATTTCTTTTGACATGCAAAAACTTTTTAACAAGACAAGATCCCAGTTGTTGATTCTGGGAAGTATTTCCTATGCAGTTTGATTCATGAATTCTTTGCTGACCTCTATGTCTTCAACCTAGTCTTCCAGCAGATTTAGTGTTTCTGTTTTAATATTTAGATCTTTGATCCATTTTGACTTTAGTTTAGTGCATGGTGATAGGCATGGGTCTAGTTTTAGTTTTTGGCATATGGAAAGCCAATTTTTCCAGGAACACTTATTAAAGAGGCTATCTTTCTTCCACAGAACATATCTGGCCCCTCTGTCAAAGATGAGGTGGCTGCGTTTGTTTGTAATTGTCATTGTATCTTCTAATGTATTCCATTGATCTTCAGGTCTGTTTTTATTCCAGTACTGTACTGATTTTATCACAGTAGTTTTATAGTATCACTTCAAGTCAAGGACTGTGATGCGTCTTCCCCTGGCTTTGTTGCCCAGAATCCCCTTTGCTATCTACGTCTCTTCTGGTTCCAGATGACTTTTGGAAATTTCTCCACATTTGTGAATTGAATTGTGATTAGAATAGAATAGAACTGTTAGGGGAATAGCATTAAATCTGTATAACAATTTTAGGAAAATGGCTATTTTCACAATATTTGTTCTTCCTATCCACGAACAAGGAATAGTTTTCCATTTTCTGTAATCCTCTTCAATTTTTCAGTGTTGTAATTTTCACTGAACAAATCTTTTACTTCTTTTGTTAGATTAATTCCTAAGTATTTCATTTTTCTGGATGCTATTGTGAAGGGTGTGGTTTCTCCTATTTCCCTCAGTGACTTTATTGTTTGTATACAGGAATGCCATTAACTTTTGAGTATTAACTTTGTATCCAGCTACATTACTGAATTTGGTTATTACTTCTAGAAGTCTTTCAAGGGAGTTTCGGGGGTCTTCTATGTAGAGTATCATGTCATCTGCAAATAACGATAGCTTAAC